TCGAGAACAGAAACTAAAAATTCAGCAATACTTCTATTTGTAAACACGCATAACTCTAGAACAGTTGTGTATAAGTTTTATAACATTTGGTTGAGACAAACTAAAAAATTCAGCAATTTTTATGTTTATAAAGGGACATAACTCAAGAATGGTAAAAGTGTCGCCACAAAATTTCGTACTTAATCTGTATTATTGTGTATAAGTTTCATAACATTTGGTTGAGGCAAACTAACTAATCAAAGAACCCCATATATTCAATTTTTGTTGAAATCAAACAAAGTTTAATTTTGGACCCCAACTTGGACCAATTTGAAAACTGGGCCCATAATCAAAAACTCTAAACACATGTTTAGATTCAGCATATCAAAGAACCCCAAGAATTCAATTTTTGTTAAAATCAAACTAAGTTTAATTTTGGACCCTTTGGACCTTAATGTAGACCAATTAAAAACGGGACCCAAAATTAAAAATCTAAATACACGGTTAGATTTGGCATATCAAAGAACCCCAATAATTCAATTTTTGATGAAATCAAACATAGTTTAATTTTGGACCCTTTTGACCTCAATATGAACCAATTTGATAGCGGGGCCCACAAATAAAAAATCTAAATACATGGTTAGATTAAGCATATCAAATAACCCCATATATTCAATTTTTGTTGAAATCAAACAAAGTTTAATTTTGGACCCCAATTTGGACCAACTTGAAAACTGGGCCCAAAATCAAAAATCTAAATACATGTTTAGATTCAGCATATCAAAGAACCCCATATATTCATTTTTTGTTAAAATCAAACTAAGTTTAATTTTGGACCCTTTGGACCTTAATGTAGACCAATTTGAAAACTGGACCCAAAATTAAAAATCTAAATACATGGGCAGATTCGGCATAACAAATAAATAAATGTGGTCAAAGATTTTACAAATCTAATGCTCCATACTGTGCAATTAAAGATTACTTCTTGAAATTTTTCAATATTTGAAATTTGAAAAAAAAAATATTTGAAGAATAATTCTTTTTAAAATCTGAAATGAGAAAAAATTGACCCCACACAATTTCTTTTTACACCCCCCCCCCTTTTCCCCAAAAAAATTCTTTCCCTCAAGATATGGTCATAATCTCAATTCAAATTTCCAATGAAATTTGCAACCATAATTACCCATTTAAATTTACCATAGTGCTAATATTTTTTTATAATAGAATTTAAAATATGGTGTCAAATCTTTCATATGGATTTTTTTGTAAAAAAAAAAGATGCAACATTTGCAGATATTTTTACTGGTCTTCCTTTATATAAATGCATTTTTTTAAACATAATTTAAAAGCAGTGTAAGGGAAGTAATCAAAACGTTGTATTTGGATTACTTCCCTTACACTGTTTTAAATTGTCTTAATTGTTCATTAACCATTACTTTATACATAATTTGAAAGCATTGTAAGGGAGGTAATTCAAATGATGTATTTGATTTATCTCCCTTACACTGCTTTAAATTATGTTTTGTACTAAAGTATTTGTCCATTAACCAGGACAACCTTGTTTTTTCCCCTATTATGCCCCTAATTCCTAAAGGGTTTGAGCCATAACCCCCGAAAGCAAATCCTAACCATCCCTTTGTGGTATGGAAACTTGTGGTATAATTTCAGAGAGATCCATACACTGTTCCACAAGTTATTGTATGGAAACTAGAAAATGCTTATTTTTGGCCCCTAATTCCTTAATTGTTGGTACCATAATCCCCAAAATCAATCCCCACCTTCCTTTAGTGGTATATAACCTTATGGTAAAATTTCATAGAGATCCATTCACTTAAACTAAAGGTTGCAATACACAGTTAGGAAAAAAACTTAAAATTGACACTCATAATTTTTAAACACCCTCTTTCCCTTCCTTTCTAACAAATAAGGCTTAATATTTGTGTTATGCATGTGTATATTTATAGAAAGAGAATCTTCCATAGATTTGATTTCTAATGGTTATAATGGTGAAACATAATCTCTGTTGGGTGTAACCATGGCAACAATCTGCATTTCTTTGATACAAAATATTGCATAAAAGGGGGGTGGACATGTCACAAAAGTCTCCAAAATTTGGTCCAAAGGAAAATTTCAATCAATTACAGTGATAACTTTCCTGAATCCATAGACATATATCTATCAAGAGGTCCAAAAAAAATCATATGCATTTCTGCTCGTTTTTCCATAAAATTGAATACACCTTATCGCTATTTAGTCCAATCCGGAAAAAACAGTCATTTAGACAACTTCCTGTTTGGGTCAACAGGCCGCAAACAAAGGTCATCAGTAACGAGCTGAGGGAGGGAAAAATTTAGAAAGCGATCAATAGGAAACTTTGATAGATTATGATCCACTTTTTCCAAACTCAAATTATAGTCAAAAAATATTGTGTTTGAAGTATTTACGATGTTTTAAACAGGTCTCATTAAAAAGTATCATGCATGGTGCATTGTTTAATCAGGGTCCCAGATAGCTTCAACTGGATGAAAAAGTTGTGTAATTTTAGAACTTATCCGGAATGGAATAAATAGCGATTAGGTGTATTGAAAAGATCGAGCGCAAAATCTTTGTTGATAAACACTACAATAATTTATGGACCTATGGGCGGTACGGATAGGAAAATACGGACTGTCAAACAGAAAAATGGCCTATAAAACATGCTTAAAACAATCTAAATGTTCATATAAACCCACTAAGAAGGCTATATTATTCTTCAATTATCTAAAAATCAATTTAATTGTACAAAAACTTTCATATCTAAAAAATTCACCATGGCCATAATGCGAAACTAAACTTCTAACTGTGTATTCTACCAAAGTTATAGTGCGAAAACCAATATGTCTTCGGACGACGACGACGCCAACGTCATACCAATTTACGACCATTTTTGCGGCCTTATAAAAATTACATGATATTTAGAAGAAAATAAAATTTAGCAATTTTTCCATTTATAAAGGGGCATAACTCTAGAACGGTTAAAGTGACGCCACCAAAATTCAAACTTGATCTGTGTTTTATGGTAATAAGCATTGTGTATACGTTTCATAACATTTGGTTGAGGCAAACTTAAGTTAGAGAACGGAAACTAAAAATTTTGCAATTTTTCCATTTATAAAGGGGCATAACTCTAGAACGGTTAAAGTGACGCCACCAAAATTCAAACTTGATCTGTGTTTTGTGGTATTAAGCATTGTGTATAAGTTTCATAGCATTTGGTTGAGGCAAACTTAAGTTAGAGAACGGAAACTAAAAATTTTGCAATTTTTCCATTTATAAAGGGGCATAACTCTAGAACGGTTAAAATGACGCCACCAAAATTCAAACTTGATCTGTGTTTTGTGGTATTAAGCATTGTGTATAAGTTTCATAACATTTGGTTGAGGCAAACTCAAGTTAGAGAACGGAAACCAATTTTGGGACGTACGTACGTACAGACGGACAAGGGTAAAACTTAATGGCGGGGGCATAAGGGGCATAAAAACTTAAGGGAAGTTATTCTAATAGATATAAACCAGTCACCAAAGTTTCATGAAAACTGCTCAAAGCACTTTTGAGTTATTGTCCGAAAACTGGAAAATCACCCTTTTTTAATGAATAAAACCCCATAAATCGGAAACGTAAAATCTGAAATTTATAAAAATTGAAAGGGAGCTCACGTCAATAGATATAAACAATTCACCAAAGTTTAATGCAAATTGGTTAAAGCGTTTTTGAGTTATTGTCCGACATGTTGACAACGGACGGACAGCGGTATACCATAATACGTCCCGTAAACGGGCGTATAAAAACGACTTTCTAAAGGGAATCCCTCAGCTGAAAGATGTTTAAAGTTCAATTTGGTCAAACTGAGTACTGGTTTCGTAGGTAAAAGAGATTGGTTGATAATTGGCTACTTAACATCCAATGGCAAATATTATATGCAGGATGAAGTTAAAAAGAGCAGAGGATGGCTATAGCTAAAATAATCTCTTTGCCAACGGTATTGTGTATGGATTGAAATTTTTGTCTGGGAAAATGGTTTTGTGCTTAGTGCCAATTTGATGAGTAAAGTTTTTTTCCAATCGATTTTTATAGTTTGCTCTATTGTTGTGCTGTTACAAGACTGTCAAAGGCAAGGGTGAGGGGAGGGAGTTTAAGCACTCACAATCATGGTCAACCATGTTAGATTCTTTATATGCTTGTTCAAAGTCAGGAGCCTGTAATTCAGCTGCTGTCATTGTTTGCTGTCTTGTCTGATTTGTTTTTTACTTAGATTTGTTTTTTACTTAGATTTGTTTTTTAGCATGAATCCTGCTGTTAGTTTTCTTTTTAAATGTTTCACATGTTATCATGCAGGAACCTTTTATAGCTTACTCTGCAGTAAATGTTTTACTGATTTTTATGGCTGTATGATGTCTCACTGGCGATCATACCACATCACCTTATTATGCTTCCAGGAAAGAATTGTCACTTGGTCAGTCCTGTGTGTCCGAAACAAATGGTTTCTGGATGATAACTTGAGTATCATCTTGCTTGATTAGAATGACACTTACACATTTGGAAGACATATGGAAGGGTGAAAAGCCTACTGATTATTGGGTCAAAAGGTCAAAGTCTACTAAAAATAGAACTCTTTTTGGATGGAAAAATGGTTTTCCCTTGCTTGATTGGAAAGAAACTTATAAAGATGGAAGATATAAGAAAGGGGAGGAAGCCTATCGATTATGGGGTCAACTATCAAATGTCAAGGTCAATGTTACAAAAAATTCATTTTTTTTAAAGTTAGTTTCCAGATAGTATATATTCGACTATGAATTGTTACACATTTATACAGGTAAAAAAATAGCATGTTTATGTGTCCCTCCAAGCATACTAGTATTTTGAACCCTTGAAATAAAAGAGTTTTCTGTCAATAAATGTGCAGTTCAGGGAGCATCAGTTTACACCAAGCTTTTGACTTGTTTTGATATAGATCTATGAACTGGCAATAAAATGCATTAAAAGATGATTAAGTTATTTATTATATCAAATGTATTTGTTCAGGTTCCACAGAGGTCCCAGTAACTTTGAACACTTTTATATGAACTGCTGAATTATTTCTTGTGAAAATTTCTGGTTCATGTTCATCTGTTTCTGGTTCTAAGTCATCTACAAGTTCCACTGTGGAGGTCTGTGTTTCTGTTTCCACATTTCCTATGGAAGAATTTTTCACTTCTAATGCAAGATTAACTGCCCGGGTTATAGCTGCACCTAAGCCATGAATATACACCTCATTCCCAGCATTCATTATTTTATGACATCTCTCAAGCTGTTGTTTGAAATTAGTTCTTCTTGACACATAAACATCATTTTTTCTTTTTGGCAGTTTTCTTGGCAATCTTTTACGAAGAGAAAATTCCTCTTTATCAATCAGATCTTTTATTTCTGTGAATTTACTCCTGAATAATAAATTGTATGAAATAATAAAAAGAGGAGCTTTAAACTTTAATGGGTCAGCAAACTTACAACATATTTGAAAAGGAACATCTTATGGACAACAACAGTCTACAATGTAGTAAAGCCCGACAGGCACAGAGAAACTATCAGTTTAGATTTTAAGAAAATTAGCAAATTAAGGGCATAAATATGCAATTCATTTACAAGTAAGACTTTCCATTTGAGTGAAGAAAATAATGTAAATTATTTATTATTATGACTTGTGATACAAAAACAGAAATTAAACTTAGTCTTATAGTCTTATAAGAGGAGATAACCCAGATAAATGGATGTTATCAAGAAATGTACAGTATGTTTCCATTAAAGAAAGAAAAATTCAACAGTGACCCAATTTTTCTTTAACATTTTTAACATTTTCTAAAAGAATTTCATAAGAGCTAGCTTTTCAGATCTTATTTATGTTTTTAATATTATATAAAAATAAGGAGATATGGTATGATTGCCAATGAGAAGACTATCCTCCAAAGTTCAAATGAAGTGGATGTGAGCAATTGATTATGTGAAATTTCAATTAATATGCCAAATTACAGATTACCCTGATTAAACGGTATACTGAACATAGAAATGTCTTTGGATGAAATAAGTACATTCTCAGGTTAGTTTAAGGTTAAGGTAGCTTACCATAAAGTTCTATTTTGGTTAGATCAACTTGGAACTCAGAAACATGTTCATTCTGAGGTGAACTTTTGAAATTATGATTTTGACCCTGATTTCACAGCTTTCTGAACATGGACTTATGATTCTGCAAGTGGGGTGTGGTGTCCATTTGAAACATATTCCTGTTTTTATGATGTTATTTGAAATGGTTCTATATATTTAACTACATTTTGACATCCAATGGATTCTGTTATATTTTGTTTATACATACAGGACCCCTTTACTACATGTACTGTGGATTCATTTATTTTCGTGGGTACCAATTTTCGTGGATTAAGAAAAACTTACATGTTCGTGGATATTTCATTTCATGGTTTTGCCGAAGTCTGCATACAAGCCTATAGAAAATTTGCCATTTGTTGAACATTTGATTTCGTGGTTTACCTGTTCCCACGAAATCCATGAAAAGTGTATCCAACGAATAATAATGAATCCACAGTAGTATACAAGTCTATTTATAGTAAGAAAGATTGGTATCTCTTAAGACAGTTTGCATGTACTATATGGAAATATGTTGCCTGGAGAGAGTTCTTGCTAAATTTCCTGTCATGCATCTTGTCCCTCGTTTTGTATGCCAAAAAAAAGTAGAGAGAAATGTTCTCTCTTCCCAACTTGATTTAGTAAGTATATTAGAAAACCCAATTATATATAATGTGACACTTTTCATTAAGTTTTAGAGCTATCTAATTCAGAACAACAGTTCTCTTTGTAATAGTACACAATATCAGCACCTAAAATGACTACTGTACATTTTCTCCCTTTAGCCAATGAAGGTGGTCTATACTACCATTTTGATTTCAATCTCCTCCTTGAAAACAATTATTCTATTCTGAAACTATTAATCTATATATGCAATACATGTGCATCTGTTTGATTTGATTATAAGAACATATCTTGCAAAGAGTGTCTTTTTTTGTTGTTTACAAATGTAATTGATTATTGTTTCCAATAGATCATCATACAGTGTACCACTTCATTCAGATTGTAATCAAAGGGGAGCTGATATAAACTGTTCTTATGTTGTGCTGTTACACCTATGTCCCAGGTCAGGAATTCTAGACACTTCAGCACCGAGATAAACCTGCACCATGACAATTCAGCATTGGCAATCTTTTAGATAATTTGGCACTTGAGAAAGACAGTTTGGTATCAAGACAAATCGCATTTCATAAAGCTACTATGTTTATATTCCACTGTTAATCTTTCACATGTTTCAGACCTTCTTATTAACAACTAATTCTGTGGCCACAGTGGCCTGATACTGATTTAGGTTTTCTAAGATTTAATATGTGTCTTCTGTTTGGAAATTTTGTGTAATCATTTGGGTTTGTCTGGGACATAATATATTGACCGTACATGTATACTATTGCCAGGGTCAGTCAGTAGAAGGAAATGTTTTATATATTTTTTTTTTCTCTCTTTTTTGAGCTCTGAGATTGTTGTTTACATTAACATCATTATAAATGTTTTTAAAAAATTTTCCAAATAAAAACATTTCTATAACTTCTTGTATTCATCTGACATTGCGAAAGTATAGGAAATTCTGAGGTGTTGACAATTTTTTGATGTTCTGGGCTTTTCCTCAATATACATGTATGGCTCGTAATTGTTAAAACAATGAAATATAGTTTTGTCATGAATGTCTTGTCGCTGTATTTGTATGCACCTGTCCTAAGTCAGGAACCTGATGTTCAGTGGTTGTCGTTTGTTAATGTGGTTCATAACTGTTTCTCGTTTTTTATATAGATTAGACCATTGGGCATGTTGGGTTTCCTGTTTGAACGGTTTTACACTAGTCATTTTAGGGGCCCTTTATAGCTTGCTGTTCGGTGTGAGCCAAGGCTCCATATTGAAGGCTGTACTTTGACCTATAATGGTTTACTTTTACAAATTGTGACTTGGACGGAGAGTTGTCTCATTGGCACTCATACCACATCTTTTTATATCTATTCAGAATTGTGGGGATCAAATGATAACCATGATAACCAAAGGTATAAATACTTTTGATCTTCATTGAGAAATTATCAAAACTCATTATAAACTTACATAAAATATTGATTAATGCGTAACTACAATCAACTATGATCTGATTAAATATGTTTATTTAAACAAAACCAAATTTTGTAATTGCATTTTTTATGTAAGGATTTTAATATCACTATCAAAATTCTTGTTTTACAATCATTTATATCAATTAATATTTGTTTCTTTACTATTAATGATACCAGGAAAATATAGAGATAAAAAACGAGGTGTCGATTTGTTTTGGTCCCCAAAAAATATGTCCTGATGCTGAAATATCTTGACATGGACAAAGTGTCTTGTTACCCCAGGTGCGAGGGAGTGTTGAACACTAGTATTTCTAGTATAAAAGTCCTTGTTCCCTATACCATGTATACTATCTTAATTAAGGGAGAGAAAAACTTAAGTGATTATTGAGTTATTCGACTCTGAAATAACACTGAGTATTGATGCATGTGCACGTACTTGTCCTCTCTCTATCTGTCTATTATCTAGAGAAAAACAGAGTACATTAATCATGTTAATGGAAAACATTTTGTCATTATTTTTACATTCTGGCTGCATGAGCAGGATTAAGATATACCTTTAATATACAGAGACTGTACAAAATCTGTGACACATACAAATAAATAGGGGACCATGCCTTAAGGCTAAACTTTGTTGCATAAAGAGTACAACAAACTTCTGTTGTAAACTACGGATTAACCTGTCAAAGCACATGCTCGTTTTTGTTAAATTATCATTAAACAAGTAAAAATAATTAATCAGATGTTTAGTAAACAGCGTGGCAGTATTACTTACTTTGGCTTTACTTCTTCCTCAGAAATCATTTTTGTTTTTTCTAAAAGAACCGGAAATGTTAAAACAATTATAAAACTAATTCAATCGGAAAAGAATCGTTTCAAACACGGGTTAGATAATGACTGTATGGACACGAAATATATATATATATAAAGCTGTCACTGTATGTTAAGATTAGATAAATGAACATTTCAAATATAGAAATTTAATTTTCAATTTATTTGTATTTTTATCTAATGTGAATTTTGATGTATAAAAATATGGATATTCGGACTGTCCATAAACCTATCTTTTATTATTGTACTAATGTAAACATCCGCTGAAAACAATGAAATGTATCAACTGCGGGACAAAGTGTAATAGTCTTTATAGACATTATTCAAGAGATATAATACAACTGGAACACTGCGTAAGTAATTTTTCCGTAGCATACCAAAAATTGAATGCATCACATTTATAATAAACTTCGATTTGTTGTAACGCATGTGGCTGTTACATGTTGACTTTACGATATTTTGCGGAACCCATCCCCATCCCGAAAACCGGAAAAAAATATCTTCCGCCATGTTGAGGGGCCTGATGGGTTATTTTTGTTCTTCGTGATCGGCGCATTTTCGCTATCGTGATCCGTTTTTCTACAGATTTTTTTTTTTATATTTTCGTGATCCGTGATCATGGAAATTTATAACCCCCCCCCCCTCCCCCATCAGGCCCCTCCATGTTGTTGAACCTATTTCAGTGTTACAGTGGTTCAGTGGTACAGACAAGTCCATCATAGTTGTTGCCTTCTCCAGACCACCAAGCAAACTTTAAGATTAATATGCCACACAACAAGTGATAGACAAACTATCCTCATTAAGTCTAGAGAGTGACTTTTAGATTAGTTGAGACCTGCAATCTTGAACAACAACCTCAAACCAATACTGACCCGCAGACACTTCCCAACAGTTTTATAAACTTTACTATCATTTTGGTAAATAACAAGTTGTAAACGTTCCATCTAGAAAGGAGAAGTTTCTGGACATATTTTACCAACAACCAATCATCACCCACTCCAGGTACACAAACACATTTACAAGATTTGTCAGACGCACAACACGACAAAGACAGAGAGCATACCACAAACGTGACAAAGCAAAAGAAAGGAGCCAATAAACAAAAAAGACTATCAAACGCTACTATATTTTGAAATCAAAATTCCAGATGAGCATCCTTCAAGCTCATAACAACTATGTCCGTGACTTCATCAGTTCAGAACCAAAAAGTAACCTAATACGTTCTGGTCCTGGTTCAAAGGAAGGAAACAAGAGTAGCACAATTGCACAGTGCAGAAGGCCATGATGGCCTCATACACAGAGACCCAACCACGAAAGCAAACACTCTTAAAGACCAATTAAAGTCCGTTTTCACAAGAGAAGGACATCAGCAGTATGACAGAGAAAGGACTAATCCAATTTCCACCTATGGCTTTTATAACTGTAACACTTGCCGTAGTGTACAAGCTTATCAAAAACCTGAAACCACGCAAAGCCCAAGGACCAGACTTAGTACCAGCCAGATTTATGAAGGAGCTGCGCAGCACTTCGTATTATAAACCAGACCTCAATCGACTTCTGGAAAATAGAACATGTCGGACATATCTTCAAGAAAGGAGACAAGATCAAAGCTGCCAGCTACATGCCGGTTACGTTGACTTCCATTTGCATTAAGGTTAGTAAGTAAATTCTCCATTCTATCATCTCTCAACACTTTTAGACACTCAACATTTTGCATATGCTTAGGATGGATTCTTGAGTAAACGTTCTATTGAAACACAGCTTATCGCAACAATCCAAGACTTTGACAAAAGGACTTTCAAATTGGAAACAGACGGATGTCGTAATACTTGACTTTGAGAAGCTTTTGACAAGGTGCAACACAAAAGATTGCTCCTCAATTTCAAATACTATGGAATCCGCGGTTCAATCCTAAAATGGTTTGGGAACTTCCTAAGCAGAAGAAAGTGACAATGTCCAAATATAGGGAGATATTTCAGTAGATGTGGATTCAAGAGTTCCACATGGCACTGTCATATAACCCTACTATTTCTGACTTTCATTAATGACATACCTGACCGTTGACATCTTCTTCCAAACAGTTTACCAATGACTCTTTGATCCAAAACAACATAGAAACAAACGACACTAACGCCCTAAAACAATTTGAATGCATTGGAAAAGTGGGGCAAATTCTGGCAAATGGCCTACTATCTGCATATCGATGAATAGTAGTACTAAATATAATCGATACCAAATGCCAACTTGATGGCCACACCATAGAGACATGTCCTGTTAGCAAATACATTGGAGTATACAATAGCCAGAATTTATCATGGCACAATCACATTGACCAAACAACAGCCAAGAATTCAAGAACAGTTGGATTATTGGGAAGCATCCTCAGAAACTGTCCACCGAGAGTAAATTCAAGGCATAAACCAGTATAGTCCGGCCAGCATTTAAAATAAGCCTCCGTAGTCTGGGTACCATATCATTACCATCAAATTGAACAACACAAAATATACAATGACCATGATGACAGGCAGCAGTATATTTTACTGTAGTGAACTACACTTCTCGAAAGCCTGGACGGACCGATCACTTCAGTGCTTCCTAAATTACACTGGGAACCGTTGGAACATCGAGGAGCGAGATATAGAATCATAAAGTTCGATTGATAACATTATAAGGGTATCAATTTTCTGCACCAGATGCTTTTTTCGACAATAAATATTTCTACATTGATGCTCGAACCAAAATATTTGAAAAAACAAAACTTATTAATCAAATGAAGAGCTTATAAGCCAAAAAGGACAAAAAATATAGCCAAAGCCGGACAAGGAATCAGAGATTTGCATGGGGAGAATATATTCCTTAATTTAAAATAATTTAAAAAAATTTGTAACAGCAAATTTTGATAACACAATATCCGTATTTTCATGCTAGTACTGTAATACACTCGGGGACTAAAACACTTACTAAAAAACACAACGAGTGGGACTGGGAGTTCCCAAGCCAACAAGATCAGGCAAATTAGTGCCAGAGTTGATGCATATAAACAATCATTCTTCCCGAGACGATCAAGATGTGGAACGCTTTAGCTTCAGATGTGAAAAGAGTACTTAACATAGACAGTTTCCGGCACCACTAAAAACAACTTTGATGTGGCCAGATTCATTCCAGACGTTAAACAAGGCTGCAGATTTTAGCTGTAAATACGGCATTTTAGATTTACAGACAGTTGTAACAGACTATTCTTTAAAGTGCTGGAGAGCCTGGAGTAGTGACATTCGTCTGTTGCGTAAACTCTATATCGGGAAGTAAGACCCACATCAATGTTCATATAATCATATCAAGAATGTACATTGACATAAGTAGCCTGGAATTCCGGCTTAATCGCTTAGATCTGTTAGAGCAGTGGGCCAAGATCCCAGGCAACTACATAAATACTCATCAAAGATACCAGGTTCATAACTTTGTTACTCCAGAAGCGCGTTTCGTCTATATCAGACTAATCAGAGGCTCTCGAACAAAAACAGTTCGATATTAGATCTTTAGATACCAGCTTAGTGTTCTGATCTGTAATTTTACCGATTTTATCCTAATCCCATTTGACAATTTGACTGAATGTGACTTTGAATGGAGGGTGACGCATGCATAGCAGGAGAAGATTACCTGTTCGACCTACACTTTTTCGTTAATTTTAGAGTTCACGTGTAAGAAGCCTAATTCAAACTGAATGTAATTAAGGGATTCCGCATAAAAACTTCTGTATAAAGTGTCGGGAATCACAACACGTTCTATCTTTAGGATATTTACATTTATGTATAAAAACGAGCTCACTGTACAATTTTTGAAATAATCTAAATGTTTCACATTTTTTGATGTCGTTTTTAGTCGACTGTACACTATGTTGTTTTCTCATTGTCGATGGCCGTACGGTGTCCTTTAATTGCTTACTACCACTTCATTTTAACTATGATGGATAGTTATTATATTGCCAAGCAATCATACAACATCTCCTCCTTTTTATATATGAGTACTAGTAAAAGTTTTTGTTATTCAAAATACATGTAAATATTTTTGGCGGGGTCGGACGAAGTCCAAAATCGGCTTATAGTGTGTTTACTTCATGCGGGCGGGGAAAAGTTGATACGATACCTAATTTGTGTAATCAACTTCTACAGCTTTCAACACAGACCCCTCAAACTTCACAGAAAGATTGCACACATGTTAAAGTAGTGCACCGACTATAATGGAATTGTGTGAGGAATTTTTCCCATTTTTTTATCCTTTAGAACATAGTCATTTTCCATCAAAATTTACAAAAAAGGTACCAGTCTTGTGAAATCAACTTCTGCCAAATGTTTTCAGTCTGGTTTTCGGAAACTTCACTGAAAGATTGCATACATATTGAAGTTGTGCACCTGTTATTAGGCAGTTGTTTGAGGATTTTTTTCCAATTTAATATTCCATACTTGGGAACTTGATAATTTACAAAAGATGGTACCATTTTTGTTGAATCAACTCCTCCTATAGTTTTCAACCTTGACACTTCGCAGACAGATGCAAACATGCCAACATTTTGCACCTGTCATACGGAATTGTTTAAGGAATCTATTCCAATTTACTTGACTTGGGAACTTAGTAATTTCCCAGCAAAATTTACAAGATATGGTACAATTTTTGAACCAAAACTTCTGACTATTTTCAGAAAAAATGCACACATGTTGAAATAAAAACCTATTAGAATGGTGTTGCTTCAGGAGTCCCCCCCCCCCTTAATCTAGACTTAGGATCTTAGTCATTTTTTAGAAAAATAAATTTACAAAGATGGTACCAGTTTGGTGTAATCAACTCCCCGTAGTTTTCAACCAAGAGCCTTGACACTTCACTGAAAGATTGCACACATGTGTTGGAATTGTGCACCTGCTGTACGGAATTGTTTGAAGAATATTTTTCCAATATTCTAGACTTGTGAACTATTTATTCTTCTGTAAAATTTACAAAAGTTGATACCAGTTTTGTGTATATTCTACAGTTTACTTTCCTGACCCCTGCAAATACATAGATATATTACGCACATGTTAAAGTTGTGTACCTGTATTTTGGAGTTTTTTCAGGATAATAAATTTACAAAAAATGTTTCAGTTTTGTTTAATATGCTCTTCCTACAGTTTTCAACGAGGGATCTCAACTGCCACTTCATAGAAATATTGTACCCATGTTGAAATTGTGAATTTTTTAGGAAATTTTACAAAAAGACTCTACCAGTTTTGTGTTATCAACTCTTCCTACATTATTTTCAATCAGATTCTTGCAACTTAGCAGAAATATATCACACGCGTTAAAATTGTGTTTCTGCTTTTTGAGTTGTTTGGGGATTTATTTCCAATTTTTGGGACTTGGTAACTTGGTAATTTTCAGCAAATTTACAAAACATGATACAAGTAATCAACTCCTCATAGAATCTTCAAACAAGACCATTTGAACTCAAAAGAAAGATTGCGCACATTTAGTGCATCTGCCATACAGAATTGTTTGAGAATTTTTTTCCGAATTTTTCCAACTTTAGAACTTACTCATTTTTAGCAAAATTTACAAAAGATAGGACCAGTTTTGTGTTAACTATCCCTTTTCAGTTTTGAACCAAGACTCATGAATCTTCACAGAAAGATTGAAATATTGAAGCTGTGCATCTGCTATTATGGAGTTGTTTGGGAAATTAATTTTATATTTCTGGACTTGGTAGCTTGGTCGTTTGTAAGTCAATTTACAAAACATGATACAAGTTTTGTGCAATCAACTCCTCATATGATCTAAATCTAGAGTTAAAAGTTAGGGTTGGTTGAGAACAAAACTTAACGTCAATAGGGATAATTTTAGCTTCCCATTTGTATGTAGCAACATTCCAGCAGCTCCTGCATATGGAGTATATGTCCCCAAATTGATATGAGCTTGCGGTTCCTTTCATAATTTCCTTGATAGAGGGTTGATACTTAAAAGGTATCTGTTAAACCAAGGGTTCCAAGTGTTGAGGTTAAAGTTATCCCTTCGAAAATTTTACGGATGCTATCACGAGTTGGTTGACCGTTATGGAATATCTGAAATAGATATTCCATAACGATTTCAGGTTATTCCATAACGGTTCACCAACTCGTGATGGCATCCGTAAAATGTCCGAAGGGATGATTTCAACTTCACCACTCGGAACTCTTGGTTCAATAAGAAATCATGATAGCCAATGCAAGCTCTGGAATATCGTATCAACTGGGAGATATATTCAAAAAACATTTGACTACGGATTAAGGCAAATATTATGATCCGTTGGCTCCTAATGCCCCCCAACCAAACCATTCGAAACATATTTCATATTCTATTTTTAATTTTTACATTTTATCAGAGTAACCCTTTTTTACCAGCTACCAAAATAAGCTATAGTTTCTTTGTTTAAAAAAATGTATATAAATCTCAACTTGATTTCGTGCGTCGGAAGCGCTTGCCTGGATTTACATTCACCAGGAACGCTCCTACCCAAATATTTAATATTTGAAAGCCAGGGATATATTTATACGTAGAAATGTTTAGAGCATTAAAGATTATAAAAAAATCGTTTTTAGAAATGAACACTTTTATTTGCATGGCGGGTGATGCGTGCATAGCAGGCGACACTTACCCTGTTGACTAAGTGTGTATTCACAAGACAAGTGATGTTTGCATTACAAGAGACGCTTATCCAGTTGACGCACCCGGTCTCACTCCTTTTGGAGTTCATGCGACTCCCCTCAGTTTGTGTTTGTTACCTTGACTTCTCTCTTCTAAATTGATTACAAGATTTAAACATCGGTCAACTACTGTCGCCTTAATTTATGTTAGTTGCAACAAAAATGTACCTCTAAATTTCATTTCCCCCATATAAAAAAGTCATGTATCATCGAATCAATAAGATATGCAAAAGTACTTTACCGATTTTCGTACCCTAAACACTTATTTGTTGAAAGCGCGAATGGAAATTCTTTTAAGTGTGCATTCTTTAATTTTAGATCCATTGTAAAGAGCTCGTAGACAAATATATAGAGTTTGACCCAGTCATTATCTGTCTTGATGCTTTACTGTTGAAAAGAGAAGCATTTCAGCATGTTCTCAGCAATAATTCCACTCAGGTAAGTTACTGAACAACAGCTTATACTTCATTGATGAATCTCTGATTATAGCAGTTTCAGCTAACACAGATCTATCATATTATACGTTAGAAGGACACGTTTGAAGCAAATGATCATGTTTTTTGTCTGCTTGTGATGCTGATTTTGCCTACATCTTGTTTTACTTAAAAATAGATCATATCTGTAAATGTTCAAACAGAGTTTATTCTGTATGTCGGGCACATCTTGGTGCTTTAGTGGTAGTATGCTCGCTTCGAGTTCAGCAGATGATGTGTTTGATCCCCGAACGAATCATATGAGAGACTGAACAGCTACTGAAACCACAAGAGTTGACTGTAGGTTATAAAATTATGCTCTCATGGTATTCTCCAATCCGACAGTGAAATCCATGTTAAAGAGGGACGTCTGTTTAGCTTTCGAGATGTATTAAAACGAATCCACTTTCGGTCAGAATGCCTCGTATAAGGAAAGTGTCGTGCTTATTTCATATTATAGAACCCTTGCAACATCTCTTTGGAGGGTATGTATGGGGCCTGTAGCACGGCAAAATGTCTGTCCTTCACCGAGGTCGACACACTTTGCAGAGTTGACCTTTTAGAGTGATTGTTAATTAGTTATCGAGCTGGGTATGTGTGAAATATTTGCAATCAGACAGCAATCATACAACATTCTAATACTTGAATACAAAGGAGTTTGTTGATCATCATTTTGCGTTGACCTTTTTTTAACATGATAAATTTGTAATTTATGCCAATAATTTTATATTGAACAAATATACCACTAGCCTGTAAACACTGAGGTTGAAAGTTCGAATCCCGCATATGACAGGTATGCTCGACTCCAATCTTAATTGACTAGGATTGTCAGTTTTCTTATATCAAGTTCAATTAGATGTTGAGATTTTTGTTTGTTGAAAATATAAGATATAAAAAAAAATGGCACATGATATCAAACACAGATTGCATTAGACCCTATGTAGTTGTACACTAAAATATCGAACTCCAAGGAAAATTCAAAACGGAAATTCCTTCATCAAATGACAATATCAAAAGCTCAAACACATCAAACGGATGGAAAATGGAAAAATATTTTAAAAAATTGGACAAATGAAGGAATAACATGGGAGTCCTTAGGGGTTTGTACTTATGGGGATAATTCTGGGTTTCATATCTTGGCTTTTAGTATAATTTTGATAAGTTCATATTGTAGACCAAACCTTCGGTGCCTCGTACAATGTTGTAATTTTGTATTTTAAAGAGAAGTAATTATTTCATTAATGTGAAATGATTGAAGACATACACAAAATTAAACAGTCTACAAAAAATACAAAACAACAAAAAACAATTTTTCAAAAGAATTCGTTCTCAATTTTATGGATTCTTTTTTCAACTCTTAAAGTTTCCAACCACTAAAACTGGATCGCGTCACTGTGTCACTTCTTATGGACGTACAACCACTTCTAGCTCGAACAAACACAGCATCCCCAACTTCAGCTTCTCTGACCACTATTTCTGTTGCTGACGCGTTATCTGCATCGTGTTCAGAGTCCGGATACGATTCTCCAATAATTGAATTGTTCAAGACAAGCTCGGTTGCGCAAAGTGACTCTCTGACAACAACAGTCCATGGGAATACATAGACCCCTGTTTCAGGTACAGTAAATGTACCCGTGAGGTGGTTGTAGGCATTTCCTTTATTTGTCATTTCTGTATCAAACTGTATTGGATGATGAAATCCTAAAGAGGAAACCCAGTTTGAAAGATATGCATGGAAGGCGATAACCTGACTGCTGCTACTTTGTCTTTTTTCTGAAAGATAAATTGCCGTTTTAAAAAGAAAATCTGGGATGTGTGCAATAACATTTTGAATGAATGTATAAACGAAATAATGACTGCCTGAATGAATGAATGACTGACGGACTGAATGCTATTAGAAAGCTTTGAAGAACGATCAGCTAGATTGTCTCTCCAGTACGTCTTAGTTTTAAACAAAGGAAGCTCATTTAACAAGTAAACTGTTGGTTAAAACATTGATACTCCTGGATTAAAAATAGCCATAAAAAATTCACTTTGGTTATTCTGATATTTTATATACAGACTATTGACAGAATTGTGGACACTACAGGCAGCAAATTAAACTCATGTATATGATTTAATCTTTAATTTCAACATAATTGTACCCCAAAATAAAGAAATTGGGAGGAGCAGCATTATACATTTGTGATTGTCACGCAATTACGCATGTTGTGGATGTTCTCAACAGACCTGATCTAGTATGTGTTGAATACAACAAATAACACTGTAAAGAAAGCAATCCCCAGAAAAAAGATACACCATAGCATATAGGTTGAGTAACGCGAGTTTACAAATTACAAAAAAACGGTGACGTCAATGTCAGCTAATTTTTTCTCAAAAGCTGTATCATATGTCCCTGTTAATACTTACGCGTCGAACGAAATTCATCTATATCGTCTAAGACATTAGTTTGAGTTTGGTTCAATCTCCTTAAAATCTTTTCAAATTCAAACATCTTTAACGTCATCCTTTGGAACTCGGACAGTTGCGCCTTCATTATTTTGTTTTCATTTTGCAGTGATTCTATTTTGTCATCACATGTTTCCCCATTAATTTCATATTCCAGAAGTACAAACACAAGAAGTGAAAATGTCAACATTGCATTCCGAATATGAGACCTTCTTGAAGAAAAATTAAATCTGTAAAAATGTCTTATCACATTAAGGTTGTAGAGTGCACAACCTTATATAATCATTCGTATACTCTTACATTTTGAACTCTTAAAGAAGAACACAATGGAGATAGATACTAGACAATTTAGTAATTCTTTTCATTTAAATTTTTAATTTTTTTGCTGATGATCGTAAACAAATTATTAACTTTTTAGTATCGAAGTGATATGAGCGTAATGACCGTTGTTTTGGACCAACCTATTGTGAAAATATATACCATACACGTCAAAGTGAACGAATAAACGTTACATTAGCGAAAGTCACGCTGTGATTTTTTTCTAATGGTTATTATATAAATTTAACTAATATGATGACGATAGATTGCAGAATCAGAGGCGTTTTCGCCTACGACGAATGTCACAGAATCGGGGATATATTTTGCTAATCCGGCGGTGGCGTTTATATGTATTAATTATATCAGGATGTAGAGGGCAAATCTTCAAATCTTGGATACAGATGAATATGTTTTATGGTATCTGTCTGGCATACTAACCTTGTTCTGCAATCTATATTTTAACTATCTTCCAGGCTCAGTGGAAACTAACCTCTATATTGTTACTATTTGACGCCTACACTAAACTTGTTCATCAAAGACAAAATGGAGACCACACCAACAGGCCTATGCCAGATAGTGTTTTGTACTCTGCATTCGAATGGGATCTTTACTTTAACTATTTTTCAGCCCTTATAGGTAAAATACATTTGAATTTTTTATATACATTATTGTAGCTCATCTTTGAATTTAGAATTTATAAAATCATAGACAGGAATTTGATATACATTGTATAGTGATAGATTTTAAAACTTAAAAACACTGAAATGCAAAATTTACGAAATGAGATTAAATATAGAAAAACGATGGTTTTTAATATAATATCATTTTATGTAAATAATTCATTTTGTCTGTAAATTAAAAAACCATCAAATGATATAATTTTACTGAAACGTAATTATCTGTTTTGTTTAAGTACTTATGGTTCTAATGCTCTGTTAAAAAGTTTGGTTTCTTCCAGAAATGTGTTTTATGTACCGTTAATATAGTGTACGGTTTTTTTTCAGAACTACTTGTGTGTGTAGTTGTTATATTGTTAGCATTTGTCATCGCTAGTAAGATTATGCCTTCCTCAGACAAACTTAGGTATGTATTATAAAACCTGTAAACATATTTGGTTGTATTTTTTTTTTGGGGGGGGGATGGCGGATATAAAAATCACCCTACCTGTCTGTTCATGAACAACCCCCCCTCCCCCCCTTTAAGGATATTGATGATGATGAAAGTTCATAAAGATGTTAAACACTACATTTGAATATGCCTAAAGGAATATATTTCCAGTCCAACATGATAAGGTGGATATAATAGAATTACATTGCTTCGATATATTAATAGTATTGCCGGCCGGGCGTATCATTCGTCAGTTCACTCATAGTTGTAGTGTAAGACTGTTTTTGTTTTTGTAATCTCTCCATAGAATGTCACTAAAGTTGTTCTTTCTTACAAACTGTTCTTTTTTTGTTTAAATCATTATAACTCATCCTAATCATGTTAGGAAACAACTTTAATGGTAATACCTTTGTCAAATACATAGAGATTCTGACGGTTTTGATTGTCAACGCCTCCTCTATCACGAGACAGTGGTGTTACCCAGCTTACTTTTTGTTTTCTGTCTCAAAAAAATTTACAATTCGTATTACCTTTGCATTTCAAAGAGAAAATTATATTTAGGTCCTGATGATGTAGGTGGATATAATTAATAAGCTACAGACAAACAAAACCAAGCAGAAAATCAACAAAGAATAAATCATTAAACAAAACGCAAAAACCTAATAATTAAAATGAAATAAAATATATGTATGTTGTCCTTTTCCTCAAAATATGTTTTGTTCCTTTGTAGATTATATGAAATAGTAAGAGGAATTTTATTGTCAAATTTTGGTAAGATATTGGTAATACCTGCTGTATTATGGGGTTATAATGAGATGTATGTGTGGTTAACAGCAATATTTGTCTGTGCATCAAATGTTCAAGCTTTCCGTGGTAAGTGATTTTTTATTATTTTTTTTAAAGTTATGCATTTCGTATTTAAGGTCTCTCACATTGAATCAATTACAGTTTATTTTGGATCAAATTCATTTTGTTAAGATAAATGAATAATATTTCCTTCCTTTTAGAAAATTTATTTTAATCAATAATACCAATCACCTATAGTTTAATGAAGACAATAAGAGTTGTAGTACAAATAAAAAAATCTGCTGTCAAAATAGTGTGAGACGACGGTTATTGGCTGAACAGTGATAACATTCATTGAGAGATGTCTTACTTGCATACCAAATTCAAAATCGAAGATAATTTTTGAAGTGAATTGAGCCAATATTCTGGTATCAACTTTGTAGTTGCTGTCAAAAACTTGTTTAAATACGCAAGGGAGATGAACTAGAGATTTGGTGAAATTTAACGTTGAACAATTTATGTTAAATTCTGTTAAAATGTGACTTATTTTAAGAGGCAATAGTAGTTCACCGATGTTCCAAACCCGTAAGTCATGGTACTCAGCAGCTATTTGAGCGAGAATGGTTCGGAGGTTCGGAGGTTCTTTTCTTGTACTCCGGCTTCCTCCACCTTAAAAAGTGGCCGCCATGATATGGTCAAGGTAGCTGAAAGTGGCGTAAAAAACAGCAACACATAATGTAATGTTCTTATTGCAGTTGATAGATATAGGAAGATGTGGTATGAGTGCCAATGAGACAACTCTCCATCCAAGTTACAATTTATAAAAGTAAACCATTATAGGTCAAGGTACGGCCTTCAACATGGAGCATTGGCTCACACCGAACAGCAAGCTATAAAGGGCCCCAAAAAATTACTAGTGTAAAACCATTCAAACGGAAAAACCAACGGTCTAATCTATATAAAAACGAGAAACGAGAAACACGTATGAACTACATAAACAGACGACAACTACTGTAATCAGATTCCTGACTTAGGACAGGTGCAAACATTTATTGATAGTCTAGGTATACGATTCTTCAGGCTTTTGGCTAACAACTCTTAGGTTGTTTATTGTTTAATATGACAAAATCATCTGTAATTAGATTACCAACAGGAAGGATTATATTTGTATTGGGACGATGAGCAAGCAGGGTTGGCAAAAAACCGGGTTTTATGAGTATTGCCCAGCCCAGTGGGAAATACTGGGAAAAACCCGGGTTTTACTGGGTTTTACCGGTTAATACTGGGCAATACTGGGTAATATGAAATACTGGCCTGAATTTTAAAGAGGATTCAGTGATTAATCACAAATACAATACATTAAAGTCGAAGAATTCAATTTGTTCTTTTTAATAAATATAACTAATATTTAAAGAACTAACAATTCTATGTAACATGTGTAAGGAAAATAACTCTAAAACATTTTAGTTCATTACTAAAAATGTTTACTAAGTTTTAGCATATGTTTATATTCATCACTAATTAATAAGTAATTATTCAGATTATAATACAGATCTATTTATATAACAATAATCACCCTTTTGATTACTATAAGTGTTCATGGCCTGTCCCCTTAGGGTGTTTATTTAGCAATATGATTGTATAACAATTAAAATTAACAATTCAATTAAACACTGCAATAGAATGCATTTTTTCAACTTGGATTTAATATTGAAACAAAGCTTGGAAATTAACAAGGTATCCTGAAATGTCCAATACTTGTATTCTGCCTACATAGAATTAGTGGAGAAAAGGAAGAAATTGAAACCCGGGTTTTCCCACCCGGGTTTTCCCGCCCGGGTAATACTTTGCCAACCCTGTGAGCAGGAGCAATTTATCAATTTTGAATTGAAAATTTCTATAATTCGTATATTTTCTTGTTTGAGGTGAAGTTGGCAATCTTACAGATTCCATTTGACCTTGAATTTGTTTTCACTGTCCAGCTACTTGATTAGATCACCATTTCTGTAATTTCAAGTAGAGGACCGACTATTTTTGCGTGTTTGTTCGTTTTAAGGTAATGTGAAATCAGTTGACCTTGATCTCCATTTTATAGAAATTAGAATAGATATCTAGGAAGGTGTACTTGTTACCTCCATTTGTGAGACTGTCAAGATACAGGTATTTATACATAGCTATTGTACAGGCGAGACATTTCTTTGCTGTTTTGCCTTTTAAGTTAAAGAATTATTGTTTCAGAACAGGTTAATGCTTCTGAAATATATTTTCAATACATTTATTAAATTTTTCTGTTTCAGTGTTATGTCCTTCATGGCCAGCCATATTTTGTGCAGTTGTTGTCATTTCCAGTCATGTCATAGCTTCTTTAACTGGCAGCATAATCTATAATTTACATTCTGCAATCAAATAAATTGAGATTGAGTTAAATTTTGGTTCAGTTTTAATTTGTTTATTACACCTAATATCTGACAATTTAGTAGGTCCTGGATGCTCACAATCCAACCACTGAACCATTAGATTGTTTGCTATTGGATATGAAAAGCTAATGTTTGTTTCTATTATTTTTATCAAATCTTTAGCTTCCAGTCGTGTGCGAGGTTTTTTTCCCTTGTCACTCTGTTTCACCCTAATTTCTTCTTGTTTGTACATTTGTCTTAATAAAACAAGATGGCGAGAGGTTATAGTCAGTGAGAAAGAAGTGTCTGTTTTTATGTGTTGAATTATCTTATTGTGCTAAGTTTAAAAATAAGACACCAAAGGACCAAATAGAGGAAGGACAGACAACATCCTGGTCAAAAGAAAACAACACGCAATAGTCCACAAGATAGAATAAACCAGGTTCACTGGACGGCTAAGCAGTTCCTGCTCCACTAGTTACACGTCGTTTTGCTCGTTACAAGTTAACAGTTGGATGATAAGTCGTGTTAGGTGATAATCATGAACGAGGAAAGGAGGAAAGGACTGAAATAACTTTAATATATCCGAAGTCGTCTCTGACACTGGTATTCTAAAATGGTCCACCAAGTCATGATGGCATTGGTAATAATTTTGATGAAATGAACTGAACATTACAATACCCCGTATGTAAATGAATTATGTTACCCCACCTTATAACATTCTACAATTATTTTTTTATTATTACCGTGACCTTTCATTACATCCTAATCCAATCCTAATTAATATTTATGGATTATCACTTAGAAATCACTTTCTGCATTGCGTATGGGCTTTTTGTTTTTGACCTCGACCTTAGATGTTCTGACTTAATTAATAGGGTTTGTCTTCTCATCAATATGATTCATATGTCAAAGTTTGGTTCCAATTCCAAATACGTATGTGAAGTTATCTCATGTGAAATCTTTTTTTCTGCACTGATGTGGGTCTATTCATAGTATTTTTGGTTTCATCATATTAGACCATATATCCAAGTTGATTCTAATCCCAAGTCGGCTTTGCAGTTAACGACTGGATAACAAACAGTCTTACGAACGGACTTCGCAGCGTTTAGTATATTACAAAATGGGTTAAACAGTCAAAATGACATTTTTATGTCTTTCCCTTTAAAGATATAGCTTGTTATTTTTACTTTGTATATTACTTATTACTATACGACTGTTGTCACATACGGATCACGATCTGCTTACCGTTCTGAGGACCTGAGACCAGTTTAGGTGAGGTATGTGTTGATCAGTCATACGTTTTATGTAGTGTTTCGTAGACTTTGTAATCGTCATTTTCCGTGTTTTGCCATGATTGTTTTCAGTCTCTCTTCGATAATATGAGTCATGAATTTCCCTTTGGTATCCTCCGTAAAGATTGACGTTTGACTTAATTGTAGCTAGCCCCTTCGGCCCTTTATAAAGACAATAATATTTACTAGTAAATGACAAATTTTATTATCTGTAATCAACCAACTAAGTGGATATTAAGCTCATGGCTTTTGTGTAGTAACTAGTTATAAGTTACGGATAAGTTTCGCTCGAGTTGACTTACTTATGACCTTTTTTATGGTCATTTTGACTTTAAAAATGTCATGATTATTAAAGTTTGGTCAACCGTTGGCAGCCATCTTTCCGTTAACATGTTGAACAGTTTAATGCTTAATTGTATGATGGGCAGCTGGAGATAATGATTTTTTTAAGATTGCAAAACATTTTACATAATAACGACCATTATCTGTTTTCACTTGTCCTTGTATATACTTATAGATAGTTTATTTATAATAATACGGTTAGCAGTTACAGATAACATGCGTTAGCGCTTCAACTGTTCCGGTTCTTATACATCATTGGCTTTCAAACATTAGACTTTGATCGTTCCTGTTGAAGGTAAATCAATAAAAGCGCTTTGGACGCATGACATTTATAACGTGTTGTTTTCATTTTTTATTCGTTACAAGTTCATGTAGTCGTCCTACAGCCACGAATAGACATACCAAACCTATTCAGTTGTTATTTACATAAGAAATAAAGTTTTGAAATATCATGATTTGTTTATTGACATATATGTATCTTTATGAACGAAATAAAACAAGTAAACAAGTATAATACAATAGATAATGCTTAAATATAACAATACTCGAAGAAACACACTATACGAACAGAATAATAAAAACAAAATGATCACAACAAACAATAATTACCGTAAGTGTATGATAGATAATGATGCATTGATTAAAAAGTTTCTTCGAAATTGTTTGTGTTTCTGTTGAAGGTAAATCCAGAGAAGTGCTCTGGACGCACGAAATTATATAAAGTTTTTTTAATCAATTCGATAAATTATGTTTATGAAGAGCGATATAAACTTTTTGAAAAGCCAAAAAACAACAGATAATTAACAACAACTGTATGTTTTGTTAAGAAATGGTAAATTTAAGATGACAAAATATACTCTTCAGGGTATTTTTTATCATAACATCATAACACTCCGATTTTAGCACTTGATCGTTAGCTGATGGAGAGACCTTACACTTGATCTTAAATATGTTAAATAACTAAATTATCCGCGTATGAGCTTTTATATTGAAAATAATTTCAACAAAATTGAGTTTTAAATACATGCATATATATGTGTACTTTTGAATAACGATTTTCCAAAATTAGAACTTCATATTGGCTTTCAATAAATGTCATAAAAACTTGATGCGTAAAATACAAGAAAAAATGGGGTGTACGTCAATGAGACAGCAAGCCGAAGACAAACAAAGACATCTAGGGGTCAGCACAGTTTTTAATTTTCGATATATAAATAGAATGATTGGGATGCATGATTATAATTATACTTCGCGACAATTTCATATAGAAATGTACAACCAAAATAGAAAAATAAAGAACCATTAATGACATATTTATGCACATAAATTCATGTGACAGTTTCATCTACAAACATAAAAATTTGTATTTTTAGGGCTCATATTGTAGCACGAATCACGTGATTTTAATACAAAAGTATAATTTAATGATCAACACATGTTTAACTTTAAATCATAACAAATATAGAATATAATTATAAATTACTAAACATGAAATATAAAGATGCTTGGAAAGCTTTTGTATTATGTGTATTTGTAATCGAATCTGGTGCTGCAGATAATAACCTATTAAAATGATATGAACCAACAATAGTGATGCTACCACAACAATATTGACAATATACAATTTTGTCATATACTTTTTTCAAAAATACATAAAGCGATAAAATTATTTGTGCGAATATGTTTCACATAAGTGCGCCTATGTATGAATATCAGTTGTTTTATTAAAAATCCTGATCTGATTGTTATTATACATAACTTTCTGCATTGCAAATTTTGCGTGCATATTAATGCAGATAGCTCGTAAGCATCATCTACATTAAACATATATCAATGAAAATAGCATATACGAATGTAGAAATAAAAGATAAATACTACATTTCATCCAACCGAAAAATTCAATCACCTTTTAAAATTTTGAAAATCCAACCCATCAAAGGATTTGATCACAGAAAACTGCCTACCTAATTTGAAGGGTACCATAAAAGAACCAAAGACGTGACGTTGACAACATAAATGATGTTTTGATATTTTTACAATTTTCCAATTTTGGTATTTTTTTTCTGTTAGAAAGTCATTTAAAATTTAAAAGTTCCCATTTTTGGTCGTAGTTATCACATAATCAAACTTGTTTTTTTACATAACTTGTTGCAAATCTTGTTAATTAAATGAAAAACATTGGTATTTTTATATCGAATAATTATTGACTAGTTTAAGATGTAATCAGGTAACCATATACGGTTAAAATTTTAAATCCGTGCAGAAGTTTTGAATGACACGAACATCGAATAACTACTGCCGCCTTGATTCATTCCTAAATTGATTATAATGATTTTTCAGATTGATGATGTTTTGAAATGATGATATTGTTCTATAAACATAAATCAAATAAAAATGATTTCTAAATATAATATTTATACATGCTGCCTTTCATAATTGGATGGAACATATTTTGTAAAATAAAACTATTGAGCATATTGATGAAAATTTAATTGGAATTTAAAATAATTTACAACATATTATTTTGGTTTTAAATATTTTTATTTTGAAAAAGTATATGTTTAAGGGTAACACCACTTTTTTAATGAGTGCATGATACGCTGATGAACCTTTTTTTCGACCACCACTAGACCAGCAAATCTGTTACTGTGACTTGACTGTAAGTGTTGCTCTCCACCTATTGCAGTTTATTCAAAATTCGGACCAAATTACAATTTGTTTTTATCAAATCAAACTGTTCATCTGGTCAGAAATTTTCACAAACTGCTGTAAAAACTACAGTCAAGTCGTTAAAGTGCAAGGTAATAAGTAAAGCATACTTACAATCCTATACGGCTTTATTCTACTTCATTGATATTTTGAAAATGACGATAAGAATTTCTATACATTCTTTTATTGTAATTGTCATTCGAAAGGTGATAGGTAGTAATTTTGAAATGCTAAAAAAAATATCCAAACTAAGCTTTCATACAATTTTTCTTTTAAAAAATCTTCTAAATTCATAAGAATAAGACATCAGTTTGAATTAAACCATGTTATATTCAGTAAAATATATGTGAAATTACAATATTTTGTTATAAGTTTCCATGGGAGATAATCTAAAATCATTGATATTTTGAAATATTGATCTTATCTCCCTTTAAAACTTCAAGAGAACATATTTAAGCTTAAAGAATATTTTACCAGGTATTTTAGAGATTAGTTTTTTTAGAAGAAATAATTCAAAAACTTAAATTTGGACATTTTTTAGCAATTCAAATATTATTACCTATCACCTTTCGATTGAAAATTACAATAAAAAAATAGGTAGAGAGCAACTCTTACAGTCAAGTCACAATAATTGTAAAAAAAATGAAGGAAAGGTAGAATTTATTGGAATTTTATTAAATTTAAAGGCATTTTGAAGGAAAACTATAATTTGGGCAAGGTTCATGAAATAAATTACAATATAATGAGAAATCAAGTCTGATAACTCTGAGAGGACAATTTTGTACCTCATTAAAATTAAAAGGAAGCTTTTATTCATATCTCTTAACATTGTGTCAGCATTTTATAGAGACGTGAAGGAAACTTATATAAGGTTTTTTTTTTATCGTAATTGTTTTTAAATTTTAAGTAATCGTTTTCATTCAGACATTGGAAATTGTTTTTTTATATGCCTCAATTATATTGTTAAGACATTAAAATGAAACATTTTGTACAAATTTTTTTGAAACTAAAAAGCATACACTCTTTTAACATATGTTTTGAGAGATGAAACTAAAAGCATACATTCTTTTAAAACATGTTGTCAGAGATGAAACTAAACATACATTCTTTTGACATATGTTTTGAGAGATGAAACTTAAAAACATACATTCTTTAAACAATTGTTTTGAGAGATGAAACTTAAAAAAACATACATTCTTATAATATATGTTTTGAAAGATGAGACTAAAAAACATACATTCTTTTAAAATATGTTTTGAGAGATGAAACTAAAAATCATACATTCTTTTAACATATATTTTGAGAGATACCGTGAGGCCACTAAATAAAAAAATCAAACTAGCTTAAATTTGTTAACACAAGTCATCACAATTATACTCTTTTGATTGAATATATTGTCTCCAAAAATGTCATCTGTAAAAGTTGTTTTTAAAATAAACTACTTACATTAAGGTGGTACATAATACTACAGGGAGATAACTCTGTAAAAATCAGCTGAACGTTTTAATCACGTTCTATTGTTAAGGAAATATTAAGCTTTTCAATGATCAAAATTAGTGTTTGTCAAACTGCTATATATCGAATGATATTTTTCCAAGGAATTGTGAATTTTTATATTTTTGTCAAAGGGTCAAAGTAAATATTTTCTCAAAATTTTATGAAAATTAAACAAGCCAAATTAATTTTAGTCAAGGTGTTTGGTACCACCTCAAATGTAATAGGTGTTTTATATTCAATGATATCATTACAGTACCAAATAAGTTCATGGGAATTCTCTGCCATTGATTAAATGATATATACTATGGTTTGAATAGTCATGCATTAGGATTGAAATTGCTTCCAATTATGCAAACGTGAATGTTAGGATAACATTGATGCATAAATTACAACACTATTGGCTTTTAAATATTTTACAAGAAGATGTAAATCTGCAAGATTAAACAGGTAAAAAATAGTAGGTTTTATAAACTTTCAATTGATTTGACATCGATTGTTTCAGACAAATGTAATTGCATTCACATAAGTATAACTTAACGCACACAGTGTGTGAAATGTATTATACGATGTATTAGCGGGTTATACTGTTATCGTCTATAAAATGTTGCTACACATAGTAAATCGGTTTTCAGTTGAAATAATTTTTTGACGAATACATTTTACGCAGGGATTCTATTGAACTGACCTTATCTGAAAACAACTATGGAGGAATTATATTGTTACATCAAAGTTATAACAGTAATTGGGACAGAAGATTGCTAATAAATAACTCATCCTTAGATTTGTAGAAATAACAAGAAATGATTGTAACAGGATGCTGTTACGAAGTCTCCCAAACGAAGCTCCCATAATTCGTAATTCCCAGGGTCGCCTGATATTGGGCAACGTCCAGTGAAAATTGGTTTGGTCCAGTAAAGTTATATGCATTAGTGATGCCTGGGGACTAACCTTGTATATCATTCAAATCATCTTGGCATGACAAACCAGAATATATATGGTTTAGGGGTGGGGATCTCGACCATTTACAAGATACTAGAACATTGGGGGTGGGGAGGAACCCCTGGGGACTGGCCCTATACGTCATTCAAATGTTCATTACATGACGAACAGGAATATATATGGTTTAGGGGTGGGGATCTCAACCATTTACAAGATATTAGAACATTGGGGGTGGGGGGAACCCCTGGGGACTGACCGTATACGTCATTCAAATGTTCGAGACATGACAAATAGGAATATATATGGTTTAGGGGTGGGGATCTCAACCATTTACAAGATATTAGAACTTTCTCAAATGGCAGGGGGTCGGGATGACCCCTGGGAACTAACCCTGTATATCATTCAAACCATCTTCGCATGACAAACCAGAATATATATGGTTTAGGGGTGGGGATCTTGACCACTTACAAGATATTAGAACTTTCTTAAATGACAGGGGGTGGGGGTGACCCCTGGGGACTAACCCTGTATTTCATTTGATGTGCTTTATCATGACAAACCAGAATATATATGGTTTAGGGGTGGGGATCTCGACCATTTACAAGATATTAGAACTTTCTCAAATGGCAGGGGGTCGGGATGACCCCTGGGGGACTAACCCTGTATATCATTGAAACCATCTTAGCATGACAAACCAGAATATATATGGTTTAGGGGTGGGGATCTTGACCACTTACAAGATATTAGAACTTTCTTAAATGGCAGGGGGTGGGGGTGACCCCTGGGGACTAACCCTGTATTTCATTTGATGTGCTTTATCATGACAAAACAGAATATATATGGTTTAAGGGTGGGGATCTCGACCATTTACAAGATATTAGAACTTTCTCAAATGACAGGGGGTTGGGATGACCCCTGGGGACTAACCCTGTATATCATTCAAACCATCTTAGCATGACAAACCAGAATATATATGGTTTAGGGGTGGGGATCTTGACCACTTAGAAGATATTAGAACTTTCTTAAATGGCAGGGGGTGGGGGTGACCCCTGGGGACTAACCCTGTATTACATTTGATGTGCTTTATCATGACAAAACAGAATATATATGGTTTAGGGGTGGGGATCTCGACCATTTACAAGATATTAGAACTTTCTCAAATGGCAGGGGGTTGGGATGACCCCTGGGGACTAACCCTGTATATCATTCAAACCATCTTAGCATGACAAACCAGAATATATATGGTTTAGGGGTGGGGATCTTGACCACTTAGAAGATATTAGAACTTTCTTAAATGGCAGGGGGTGGGGGTGACCCCTGGGGACTAACCCTGTATTACATTTGATGTGCTTTATCATGACAAAACAGAATATATATGGTTTAGGGGTGGGGATCTCGACCATTTACAAGATATTAGAACTTTCTCAAATGGCAGGGGGTGGGGATGACCCCTGGGGACTAACCCTGTATATCATTCAAACCATCTTAGCATGACAAACCAGAATATATATGGTTTAGGGGTGGGGATCTTGACCACTTACAAGGTATTAGAACTTTCTTAAATGGCAGGGGGTGGGGGTGACCCCTGGGGACTAACCCTGTATTTCATTTAATGGGCTTTATCATTTAGAACATTTTCAATTAAAAAGATTGTGTCTATCACGAACGGTTTTCAATTTATAATCATTTGAAAATTTAAAAAAATAAAATCCCATAGGGTTCTATAGTAAAACCCTCTTTTCTTTTTGCCCCTCAAAGTACCCCTTTATAAACCCTATTGCACAAACAAAACCCTGATTGCACCACTAGACATGTTAGTCTAACATATTGTGAAACCCTAAGTTAATCTGACAAGCGGTTTTGGAGAACGGGTGCGGACAAGTTCAAATTTAAAAGCGGCGGAAGAAGAAGAAGAAGAAGAAGAAGAAGAAGAAGAAGAAGAAGAAGAAGAAGAAGAATAATAATAATAATAAGAACTGAGCAAAAACAATAAGTCTTCCCAAACTTCGTTTGGGAGACTTAATTATAAATAATGTGTTCTCCTACAGAGAAACGTTGAAACACTTTAAATTTACTATAGTGGTATTTTAGTAACACCAGACATGTTCTTATTGTCATTTTGTTTTTAACATTAAAGTTCCGTGACTTCAAAACACATGACAATCCTTTTCATGTTTCAATAAAATGCATTCTTTATTTGGATTTTTTTTCTGATACATTAAAGCACACGTAAATATAGTACAATGGCAATTAATAGCACTATTCTCTGGGGTATGCTTATTTACATGTTTCTTAATTAACACCTACAAGTAATCAAGTAATTTGCTTAGTTCAAAATAGAGTTGTTTTAATAAATACAAAATTCAGTTAATAATCTTATTTCTGATGGTATGTAGAAATAGTTCAGTTCACAAGTTGCTGTAAAAAAAAGGATGACAAATACAGTGTCCAATGAGATGTGGAATTCATTTGTGATTAAGTTCAAATTAAATCAGGATCGCAGCATCATAACGGGTAGTTAAAATAGGAACCTTTGACGATCTCATATTCAAAAATGGTTCGGAAAAAGAAAAAAAATGTGAAATTCATGCCTTGTGCATGTCATTCGTTGCTTATTATGCCAATCTAATAAATATCAGTGGTACAGCAATGAGACCATATTATTTAGTGTATCATAAACTTCCATTTTACGGCAAATATAAAACATGATTAACCAATTTCTTCATTTAAAACCAAAATAAAAAAATAAGCTAGGCTTGGCCAACATTACTTCAAGGTCTTACTACACGTGTTGAGTTCAAATCTAAACCATAACTTCGCTTTCCATATCAACTCCCACTGTCTTTGAAATTTCAATCAACTCCTTTTGTCTTTCTGCCGCTTTCGCTCTAGATTTTGAAAGTTCTATGTTAATGTCTTTGACCTTTGTTTTGGGGGGAGACACTGTGGATGATTCGTTAATGGAATCTGACTTCGATATGATTTGCATGGGACTTTTTTCTATTTTATCTAACTCCTTTTCCAACTTAGTTTTCTTGTGTTCAGCACCTTTATTAGATTCTGAGAATAATGGATTCTTATATCGTCTTAAATTTTCTTCGTTTTCGTTGTTTGTTCGTTGTTCAATATACTCAGCATGTGCTTTTGATCTTTCAAATCGTCTCTTTTGTCGTACATGAAACACAACCAATAGAGCAATGAGCACAATACCAAGAAGACCAATCGCTGAACAAATAACTGGAATGAGGTAAACTGATTCTGAAAGAGAAAATGTATATACATCTTGATTACGAGTACTAGTGTTTGATTTTCGTTTAGTTTACTAGTAGTATATTAATGGTTGAAATTTTAACAGTTCAATGTTTTAAAGAAAAAAAGATGTCATAAGGATTTTCTCCCCAGACATAGATGACTTAGCCGTATTTGAACAACATTTTTCGAATTTTTGGTTTTCAATGCTCCTCAACTTCGTTTTGATTGACCTTCCAACTATTTTGTTTCAAGCGTCACTGAGTAGTCTTATGTAGAGTAGTCTGGCAAACCAACTTACAAGCTTGGTTGGAATCTTTGTTGAGTTTACTACATTCTTCCCTTGTATGTAATTTTGACTGTAGAATCTGGTATAGCACAACAATAAGATGAAACAAGGGTCTACTATTAATCCTTAGAATATAAACGGGTGATATCAAGTTCAGTGCGAGAGATACGTGTTTTTGGAGGTATATCGATTGTTGGGTTTAACGCCACTTTCAGCACTCTTGACTATATCATAGTGGCAAGTTTTAATTGGTGGAATAAGCCGGATTAACTGAAGAGAACCATCAACCTTCGGCAGAAAAAAAGTCAATTACGATCGGAGTCGAACACACCTTGCCACGAGCGGGATTTGAACTCGCAACCTCAGTGTTAAATGTTGAGCTACTTATTATACTCGGTCACGAAGATCCTATGGTGATAGATAGTAAATGTTATAATTACTTTATAACCTGAAAATTCCGAACTCGAAGGAAAATTCAAAAAGGGGAAGTCCATTAAAAACTGACAAAATCAAACGGAACGAGTGAAAAACTACTGTCATTTTCCTTACTTGGTGTAGGAATTTTCCGAAAAGAAAAAAAAACTCTCTTAAGGTCATGTCCAAGTATACTACTTTCCTCTCTCCTTCGAACGCTTAAAGCAAAATTCAACAATGCCACTGTAAAATCAATGGCATGCGTTGTCATGCAAAGTATACGCTTACTCATAATTATTCATTGACTGTCCAATTTTTTTTTCTTTCCGAAAAATACTATGACAGCAAAGTGAAAGATAAAGACATGCGATAAATTATGTATGACATAATCTGTTGCTAGATTCTAATGATTATACCCATAGTTAGAGTGTTGTCAGATATTGTCATCAACACCTCCACTTCTATTACCGCTGCAAGAGCACTACTTCCTGTCTGCTTATGACTTATGACTTGTGTTATGTTGTCGATAGCTGTTTTGAGTGTGGCATCTATCTGATTGTTTGACTTGGTAGCTTCCACTGACTGAAATATTTTAGAAGCAGAACTAGAGATTTAAAATTAAAAGAGTGTAATACAATTTTCGAATCATTTATTGTTTTTAAGCGACATATATGGTCTAAAAATTGAAATATCAAATGAAGAATGTTGAATATTTGCTAATGTCGAGCCCTTTAAACTGGTTTTATGGTTTGTTCTAATGTTGTTCCTACCAGATTGTAATAGTGTTTAGCTCTCGCAAACATGTTTAGCCCTATCATATTCTTTATGTTCATTCCCAAGCCAGAAGCCTACAATTCAGTGATTGTCGTTGTTGCTGTCTGTTATTTCGTGTAGTTTTTCGTTGGTAATAATTTTGGTCTGGTCGTTGTTTTCTGTTATGAATTGTTTCACATTAAGTTATTCCGGGGCATTATACAGCTTTTATACTATACAGTATGCGTTTTTCTTATTGCTGCAGACTGTCTAGTGATATGTGGTTGCTTGCATCCTTGTGTTTAGCCTGAGCTGAATGGTTTTCAGCGTTAATTCAAATCATTGATTTGTTATATTAATAAATAGTTGATACAACTAAATAAGTTTAAAATGAATAACATTTCAAAGACAATTGAAATAGACCTCTTCTCCAACTCAATTCATGGTCAATAAAATTTATGACATTTCGATGTGGAGCTCAACACCATTACTACACAGTGTGTAAAAAAAATCTTGATGGTGATCCGTACACATAATGCAAGTAAATTTGAACAGAATTATATATAAAAAAGAAGATATGGTATGAGTGCCAATTAGACAACTCTCCATCCAAGTCACAAAGTGTAAAAAGTAAACAATTATAGATCAAAGTACGGCCTTCAACACGATGCATTTGCTCACACCGAACAGCAAGCTATAAAAGGCCCCAAATTACTAGCGTAAAACAGTTCTAACAGGAAAACCAACGGTCTAATCTATATAAAAAACGAGAAACGAGAAACACTTATGAATCACATCAACAAACGACAACCACTGAACAACAGGCTCCTGACTTAAGACAGGTGCATACAAATGCAGTGGGTTTAAACGTTTTAACAGGCGCCAACCTTCACCTTAACCTGAAACAGTAGTATAACATTACAACATAAAAAGACACACTATAAAATATCAATTGAAATGGCTTAACTCGATCAAAAAGACGTGTAAACAAAAAGTGGTAAACATACACTGAACGAATAAGTTTGATATATGACACAATATAAATAAAATATTGATAAAAAAAGTTGTAGAACAATGTCTAAAAAAGAAAACTCTTAAATGGGACAAACGGCGTTAGATAAAATAAAATACACAGGTAAATTTAAATATAATTTTGTTGTTAGGAGTACGGATATATTATTTCCAAATAAATAAATTTGTTGTTCACAGTACGAGTACAGAAGTGAAAATTTATCGTCATACTAAATACTTATTAAAGGTGGTACATATTAAAAATAATAAGACGAAATATAACACCAAATAAGTAATTATTGAATAACAAAAATGCAATACAAATTATGTCAACAGGTCAAATTTACACGAAAGTACGATATAAGAGTACTCGCAGTTACTGAAAGCTAGTTAAAAGCTAAAAACAATAAATAATAAAAAATCATGCATCAGAGACTAAAATAAATTAAAACACATCCCAGGGATTTAGTTTTTTAACGCCATGGACAGTCAAAGAAGACACGAATTGTGCAATGCCAAAATAAAAGTATCGACATTCAGTAGGATAGTTAGGATTTAACCTTATGATAAATATGTATCATGTTATATATCGATAAAGCAATCTCTAAATAGAAAATAAACATGGATGTGTAATGATACATAAAAAAAAAACCATTCGAAAACAATACAAATTTAGTTATAGATATAAGAAGATGTGGTATGAGTGCCAATGAGACAACTCTCCATCCAAGTGAAAATTTTGTTGTTTTAATTTGTTGATGACAAAATCGATGTTAGTGCCAATGTAAACAATATTCAAAGATCTCATTACAACGTTAATAAGTTACCTTTACTAATAAGTTTGTTTAAAGGTTCGATGAGTTTACACGGATCACATACTGATTTCCGCGCTTTTAATACAATATTACCGTAAGATTTAGGATGTGAAATACCGTTTTTAATAAGTTTTCTTATTTCTTTGGTACAGCCAAATTTACTAATCTAATCTTTGTATCTATGAAAGAATTTAGTAAATGTTTTAAGTAATTTTTGGTAACGAAATCCCTGACTTAATAATTTACCAGTGATGCATTGATTACGTTCGTTAAAATCTATGACATCACTACACACACGGGCATGACGAACGAGTTGGGATATATAAACACCGTACGAAAGAGCCAAAGGAACATCGTCGTCTAGAAAAGGAAAATTAACAATAGGGAATGAAAAATAGTCTCTCTTGTCGTAAATTTTAGTATGGAGTTTCCCTTTAAAAATTGAAATGTCTAAATCTAGAAAAGGACAACTACTGCTGTTTATGTTAGATTTATTTAAAGTAAGTTCCTTTGCGTAAATTTCGGGAGTATATTTAGAGAACTCTGGACTATTAAACGAAAAAGTATCAAGATAACGGTAGGCATTGTTGAATGTGTCAACTAAATGTAACAATGACGTATCTTTACTGAGTTTGGCCATAAACTGTGATTCATAGCAATACAGGAATATATCTGCTATTAAAGTGGCGCAATTAGTGCCCATAGGAATACCTACTACCTGTCGATACACTTTATCGCCGAAACGTACATATATGTTGTCCAGGAGAAAATTTAAAGCTTCAATCATGTCTTCACATTTCCAGTAAGTGTATCTAGCATACTTTCCTTTTTCGCTACAGAAAAAGGCTTTAAAAGAGTTACAGCAAATAAATTTGCAATGAGATTAATCAAAAGACCATTTAATTAAATATGAAACCTTTTTCTTGATAAATTTGTGTGGAAGTGTAGTGTATGCTTGAATTAAAATCGATGTGAATAACTTACCAATAATATATCTATGGCATTAAGTCGCACTTTATGTAAATTACAAACAACATATACATGTTGTTCATTAGACAATGTCTTAAGCACAGGTAACCTTCGAATTGTATTACAAATTGTTTCAACAGAAACTCCCTAAAATACAAATAAAAGTATAATTAAATATACTATAGGGATTAAGACATTTCTCATTAGAAGCACGAATGCATAAAAATAAAGAAGTTGAATATTACCAAAAATATCTTATTTGAAATAAATAAAACGTGCATGTAATAATTTTGACAAAATTTTATTCATCTCAAACATTAAGGTCAAATAGTTTTAATGCAACATTGAAACGTTTGCTTGTATTGTTAGAAGTAACTCGTATCTAGTCAAGCAGGAACTAATGACATCCTTCTGGAGCTGAGAGTGTTAGACGTTACCTTTCAATGATCGAGCAGAAACTACCGTGTTTTGTCGTCGCGTCCTAAATCTTTTCACTAGCAAGTCAACACTGAGGTTGTGAGTTTGAGTCCCGCACGGGGCAGGTGCACTCGACTCCAATATTAATTGACTAGGATTGTCAGATTTCCTACCGAAGGTCGGTGGTTCTCTCCGGGCACTCCGGATTCCTCCACCAATAAAAACTGACCGCCACGAAATAGCACAATAGTGTTGAAACACCAATCTATCAATCAATGAAACTTATTCTTTTCGTTCATTGTGTTGTCTGTTTTTATTTGACTTAAAGATTGTTCCTTTTGTATCGTCTCTCTCTTTTTTAGCCGAAAAATATGGAACAAGGCAACAAAGGGACATCAAACTGAGTAAATTCAGCGCTTATAAAGAAACTGTGAAGAAAAGAATATTAACTGTGTTTTGTATTTATTTCATTTTTGAACTTACCGCTGGCGTTTTTGATTTGTCAAATATCAAAGAAATCTTGGCACAATTATTAGATAGTTGAGGACTGGCCGATTCACAATTTGAATCCACATTATACATAATGGTGTCTTTGCTTTCCCTGAGGTCTTGGCAATAACCCCATGGTACACATGGCGGAGTAAAACATATTTTGTCTGTCTGTATAACACAGGTCTGACCTTCAGAACATTCCAGAACATTTCCTACATATCTTGAGTTATTAAGACAATTAGATGGTCCACACCAAATCTGAAACAAAATTATTATAACCCTTAAGATTAAACATAATTATTCTGTACAACAAGGACACTTAATTGATACAACATTGTATGATAAAAAAAAATTGATTCAACTTGAACTAATATATCAGGTATTTACAGGTATAATATAATTGTTTTTATCGACAGTCATTTGAAACAGTATCCAATAAGTTAATTACAGGACGAATACAATTTTTTAAGAATGCTGACAACTTACATTAAGGATAGTCTAGGCTATGAATATTAAAAACAATCCGTTTCGGGTAAATTAAGTTACTATTCCTAAACTAAGTTCTATTGACAATGGATTAAAGTTATACTGTTACCTGGCTACAAGTAACTACACCATTTTCACAGCTACAAGAATTACATTCATGCTCCCATTTTGATTTATCAGGATATGTGCGTCTGTTAAACAGACAAGACAATGGTGAGGGCAGTTTTCCTGCCACTTCCTCACATAATGTTCCAGTCCTACCAGGTGGACATATACATCTAAAAGATCCTATACCATCAACACATGTACTGCCAAATGTACATGGATCCGATATGCACTCGTTTATATCTGAAAAAGTGAGAAAAAAGCATATCGTTTACGTGGCATGTGTTTGTCTCAAGGTTTTGAAAGAATTACAGTGATATATAAAAGAAAGGTTTATATCCGGATAAAATGTACAACCGTTTAACAATTAAGAACAATCTGACAAGGTTGTTGAACAGGGGAAATTATTTCTACTCGTCGTTTTCACTGGCATGTCAAGCATATGCTGCTAAAAAGGCATAACCTCTTAATTCATTAACTTCAGTCATGTTCGTTTGTTAAGACACAAAACGGTATAATGCCATTTCTGTTAGAGCGAAGGTCAATAATTTATTGGATAAAAATACTTGCCGTTAACTATTGTGAAAGTAATAGTAATATTGATAAGAGACATTAAAGTTATTTAAACTGTGAAACAAGGGTTTATTACTTTATATTCATAGATTGTTGTCAAAAGTTCTCACACTGATTTATCTTGAACACTATTGTTAAAAGAGAGGCGAATGGTACCAAAGGGACATTCAGTTTATACGTTGATATTAAACTGACCAATGCTAAAGCAAAAACGAGAAAAGGACCAACAGAGAAACAACAGTACACAATAAAACAAAATAGAAAACTAAAGACTGAGCAACACGAACACACAAAAAACCAGGGGCGATCTCAGGTGCTCCGGAAGGGGTAAGCAGATCCTGCTCCACATGTGGCACCCGTCGCGTTGCTTATGAAAGTACAAACCCGATGATAAGTCTAAATCGGAAGTTCACTCTATGAGAAAAGAGGACGGGATTGATGTTACGACAACTGGAACATATCCGTCGTCATCTGTGAAACAGATATTCCATTACGGTCAACCAACTTGTGATGGCGTTCGTAAAATTTACGAAGGGATGACTTCAACTTCAATGACATTTGGAGAACTTAATGATGCGACATATTTACATATTGTAAATGGAACCACACTGCGGGTGTCACTATCGAGCAGAAAGCCTCGACCATTCCGAGGCATTTGAGCTCATCCACGGTTTTTTGGTTGTGTTCGTGTTGCTCAATTATACGTATATTGTTTTATTGCCTTTTTGTTATTTTTTTTTACCGACGCATCAGGGTTGCTCCTTTTCGAGTTATGTGGTTCAGTTTGTGTTTGTTATCTTGATTTGTATCTTCTTAATCGATTTATGAGATTAGAACATCGGTAAATTACTGTTGCCTAAATTTTAAGGAACTGGACGTTTTAATAGCTCCCTTTGTATCTTTTCCCCCTTTCGTAAGAAGCATCCTGACTAGCAGTTGTTCATGAAAAATTTGTACATTCTTTTGTAACATTGCCTTCTTTTAAATGATAGGCATTATTCTATAGCTTGTGTCTGATAACTTAAATTACTGTTGAATTTGAAATGTGTCTCAAATGAGGATTTACCTCCAAATTACACAGTCATAATAAAGGTATTTTTTGGCTGGTGGATTTAAGCGCAATGTTTTGTAACACTTACTGACTCTACAGTCTGGTCCGGCAAAGCCATTTGCACACTCACAAATATACCAGTTTTCTCCATCAATACATCGACCACCATTATAGCTTCAATAGTACAAATAAGAAATCAGCAAACAATAATGTATGGGCGAAAACTTTTAATAAAACTATGAATGACATAGTAATTATCAGTTATAAAGTGCTGTAATAATTACTTAGTATCATATTTTTTACTGTGTGATGTATAACATATGGTTCCAAAATTCTCCATTGATGAATTAAGGAAGTACACCTCTGAGGAGCCAAAAATTTCTAGAATTAAACTTTTTTCTTAACCTGAATTTTGGGTTTATATGACTTAAAAAAATCATATGATGGTGCACTTCTTTTTTTGCTGCGGCCCTTTGAAAGTACCCAATTTTGATGATTTTCCCATTTTTCATCAATTTTAACCTATTTTTGGGCTATTATCGTGAAAAAAATCACAGTTCCACAATTAAACTTTTTTTCATACTTTCAATAAAGATGAAGTGGACCAATCTGAATAAATTTAACTTAAAAAAACTATAGGTAGGTGTTAATATAAGAATGTTTTATCATATTTTGATGCTTTTTTGTGTCAAATTAACAATGCTGTCAATTTTGTCAATTTGTGATTTTTCTCTGTTTTAAGAACAAAATGTATATTATTTCAACTTCTTTGTTATAAATGATTGAAAAAATACATATCTAAGAAATTTGAAAAGAAAAAAAGTGATATGGGATGTACATGTTTCTGGTAAAATCATTTCTTGTTCCCCTCACCCATTTTCTCAAAATTTTGGCTAAAAAGACTGACTAGATTGGTAATAAAATTTGAAAAATTGATTACGAGATTTCAACGAGACTGTAAAGTCAGAAGAATACATCTTTAAGAAATTACAAGGAAAACAAGATTCCAACCCCATATACAAATAAAGGCAACAGTAGTATACCGCTGTTCGAAATTCATAAATCGATTGAGAAAAAAACAAATCCGGGTTACAAACTAAAACTGAGGGAACACATCAAATATAAGAGGAGAACTACGACACAACAGAAACACAACATTAAAATGTTACACACACAGAAACGAACTATAATATAACAATGGCCATTTTCCTGACTTGGTACAGGACATTTTAAGAAAAAATATGGTGGGTTGAACCTGGTTTTGTTGAATTTGACCTTGGATGAATTTGGCTTTTTATGTCCCTTTTCGTCACATTAGTCCTTACGAGTTACCAGGGGGGAAGTTGAAACCATCCCTTCGTAAATTTTACGGCCGCCATCACGAGTTGGTTGACCGTTATGGAAAATCTGTTTCACAGATGACGACGGATATCTTCCAGTTGTCCTTACTACAACCCCGTCCCCTTTTTTCACCGATTGTGACCTACCGAATTTGTACTTACATGAGCAACACGACGGCCAAAGGTAAGCAGGATCTGTTTACCCTTCCAGGTCACTTGAGATCACCCCCGATTTTTGATGGGGTTCATGTGTCTCAGTCTTTGGTTTTCTATGTTGTGTTTTGTGTACTATTGTGCCTGTTGGTCTTTTTTCTTTTTTAACAATGGCTTGTCAGTTTATTTTCGACTTATGAATTTCAATGTCCCTTTGGTATCTTTCGCCTCTCTTTTACGTTGCTACGTATCAAATATTACCCAGGTATCTTTCATGAGTTTTTATAACCACTGGGTCGAAGCTAATGCTAGTAACCCTTTCGTTCCTGGGGGTATCAACTGCCAAGTAGTCAGCTCTTTGAGTTGACATGGCATATTATTGATGGCTTACAATGCTTTTAAACTTCGTGTTAGATTTGGCCATCCAACTTTTGATTCTTATTTCGAAGACACGTGCTTTATTCCAATTTTGGTTTGAGTTACGTCAGGTAAACATTGTAATCAATACGGCACATCGGCCTATTATTTAACTTTTTTACTGGTTACACTGCCCGGAAAAATGACAAAATAATTTTTTCAGCATAGGAGATCATTTGAAGTGAAGATATGTTTCTCATACATGCATTGCTCTGATTTCTGTGTGAGTTTGACTACAATTATTGTCTTTCTCGGTTATATCAGGTCTTAAACGTTTTTATTACGTTTTGCATTTACGAATATAAAATATCACTGAATGTGAATTTACCCCAGATTTTCTTCTGTATGCAGCATTTATGTAATTAAGGAAGAAAACATTTGACAATCGTAAATTTTGCTGGGTTCTGTTTTTATTCTCAAATTTTGTCAATTTAAAGTATCAATAAGTAACATAGAACTGCATATATGAATTCCAGAAACTCACCATGGGAATGGATTACAATCGTTAATGTTGATTTCACACATAGATCCTTCAAATCCTTCCTTACATAAACAAGTAAAGGTATCTCCACTGTTCACACATGTTGCATGGTTTCTACATGGTGAATTATCACATGCATTAATCGATCCTAAATGTTGAAAAAATGTGTGTCAAAATGGACAATATAAAACAAAAAAATCTTTTTTGTATTTCATTATTCATTTCTATTGGCAAAGAATACAAAGTTTTCTCATTCCAAAAATAAAGGCTCTCCATTGACAGCAGCTTTTATAATCACCTTTAAATATTAGTTTTCTTTTTCAATAGAAGTGAATACATTACTAAAGTGTTGGATAATTTTTAGACAATGAATTTCGTGTAATTTCTAAATTAATAAATAATCAAACTGTTAAACTTTCGTAATTTCGTAAATATTATATTGAAGTTCATATATCATTATATTTCTATTAAAGGAACAAATCAATATTTATCAATATAGAAAATGTTTATAATTGAAACTGGATTTAAAAAACTCAAGTCGCTTACGAATTTGACAAGTGCTTCCTTCAAAATCCTCTGGACACTGGCAGGTAAATGTTGTTTCCAAGTCAATACATTTTCCTTTGTTAAGACATGTGGAATTATCACAATGTGAGTCCCCTGTGAGTGAACAAAAAAATAAATATAGAATAAGAAAAACGGCGAACAAATCCACAGAAAACCAGACTAAGCACGATGAACCCCAACCAAAAGAAACCCAGGATTGGTCTGACGTGAAAACCAGACTAAGCAAGACGAACCCAAACCAAAAGAAACACGGGATTGGTCTGACGTGAAAACCAGACTAAGCAAGACGAACCCCAACCAAAAGAAACCCGGGATTGGTCTGACGTGAAAACCAGACTAAGCAAGACGAACCCAAACCAAAAGAAACCCGGGATTGGTCTGACGTGAAAAACCAGACTAAGCAAGACGAACCCCAACCAAAAGAAACCCGGGATTGGTCTGACGTGAAAACCAGACTAAGCACGGCGAACCTCAACCAAAAGAAGTCCAGGATTGGTCTGACGTGAAAACCAGACTAAGCACGGCGAACCCCAAACTAAAGAAACACTGGATTGGTCTGACGTGAAAACCAGACTAAGCACGGCGAACCCCAAACAAAAGAAACCCGGGATTGGTCTGACGTGAAAACCAGGCTAAGCACGGTGAACCCCAAACAAAAGAAACCCGGGATTGGTCTGACGTGAAAACCAGGCTAAGCACGGTGAACCCCAAACAAAAGAAACCCGGGATTGGTCTGACGTGCTATGGAAGGGTTAGCAGATCCTCAGACATATTCATCATCCAACATTCGAAAACAAAATACACCAATAAATTTTATTCAATTTCCTAGCTTGTTAATAATGACAAAATATACAAAGAATCCTAAATTTAACATGAGCAACACGACAGGTGCCACATGTAGAGCAGGATCTGATTGCCCTTCCAGAGCACATGAGATCACCCCCGGTTTTCGGTGGGGTTCGTGTTGCTCAGTCTTTAGTTTTCTATGTTGTGTTTTGCGTACTGTTGTTTGTCTGTTGGTCTTTTTCGTTTTTAGCCATGGCGTTGTCAGTTTGTTTTTGACTGAGTTTGAATGTCCCTTTTGTATCTTTCGCCTCTCTTTTAAACATGCTGATTTAAGGATTGTGACTCAAATGAACAGTCTAAAGATGTCTGTAATATAGATCATTATTTGGTTTCTGAAATACCAAGGCTTGCGTTTAAAGGAAACTTAAGAGACATTTATCCCTACATCATCAAGATCGATATATCTCGTCTGTTCGTCTTTTGTTGCTTCGCTTGCAACAAATGACGCGAAGGCGAGATATAGCGACAATAAACGTCAAAATGTAAAAAAGTGTTTGTATAACAGAGTAAATCTTTATTGTCAGACACAATTTCAATCAAATTGAATACTTATTATTCATTCCGCTCCTAATTGATAATAAAACTAGATGTGTCGGAACGACACAAATGGCCCCGCTCGCAAAACAAAGCTTGAAGCCATTTTTAGGAGTTGAAATTTGAAAATGAAAGTCCGTACAACAGTTATTTTCACGAAAGTCCAAAGCCTGTAATTTCCACAAAAATCATCGGAGCTAAACCAAACGTAATCTCGATCTGTTACTCATCATAGTTGACTCACATACTAAAAATCAGCTCAATATGTGAAGACGTTTAGAAAAAAAGTCCATATAACTGTTCATTGCGGAATAAAGGAATGACGAATAAGGGTAAAACTATATGGCCCCGACCAAAGTGGTCGGGCTATAAAAATGAAAAAAACAAAAGCAAACTAGTATCTCAACTATTTATAAAACAATTGAAAGGTCTGTCCTTTTAAGTAAAAGAAAGTCTGATATTTGTAAGGTACTCTTTACGACCTTTCATTTGATATGCGACAAGCTTACCTTCTTAAACTTTTCACTTTTCGCACTAAATGACCCTATACACGTCATTTTTCGAGATCGAAAGTAGGATATTTGTAATGTAGACTTGATGTATTGCTGTGTGTTTCTTTATTCTACATTGGCTAGACGTATAGGGGAGGTTTGAGACCTCACAAAACATGTTTAACCCCGCCGCATTTTTGCCAAAGTCAAGAACCTTCGCCCTTTGTTAGTCTTGTAAGGTTTTTTTAATTTTGGTTCATTTATATGTTTCGGAGTAAAGTTCGACGTCAATTTTCACTGAATTAGTACACATTTTTGTTCAGGGGCAAGCTGAAGCCCGCCACCGGATGCGGGATTTTCTCGCTGTGTTGAAGACCGATTGGTGGCCTTTGGGCTGTTTTCTGCTCTTTGGTCTGGTTGTTCTCTCACATTCCCCGTTTTTTGATATTTGAAAAGTACACATGACTTTTCATTTGAAATACGAACACCTTACCTTCGAAAACAATTCATTTTTTACACTAAATGACTCCACCCAAACTTCTGTGGGGGACATAAATTTGATATTTGAAAAGTACGTATTATGGACTTTCTTTTGACATTCGACAACCTTACCATCGTAGGACTTTTAATGTTTGCACTTAATGACCCTACCCTTCTCTTGCGAATGGAAATTGGGTTTTAAAATTAATTTTCATTTATCTAATATAGCTCATTTGGATGTTCAATTTCATATGTCACATGACTCTATTTGGCAAAGTAAAAAACTGATGCAATATCAATTCTATAAATAGAACTTATGAAACTTACAAAAACTTACAAATATCAAACTGCTTATTTTTCTGTGTTTTTTTATCAAATAATTTTGGTATTTAATCAAACAAACAACCTGTTGAACAAACGGATGGTCGGACAGTTTTGGGTCTATTATGAAAAATGTTGAACCTTCACCTTCTTCATGAACACATTAGATCCAAGACTGTCCGACCAACCGTTCGAAAGTTACGACGAGGTAATTCTTTAAAGTATAGTTTTTGTGTGTATCTTTGAAATGGTGAAGATCCCATGTCTCTACGACTTTCGGTTCTCGAATTATAATTTTTCAAAAATTGTTTATGATATTTCAAGTAAATAACTCTTATAAGGGTTGATAACAAAATAATTGTTTATATTTATTAACATGTTGCCTTTTTCATATCGATTCTACCTGTAACAATTGTTTCAAAGAGATATAACTCTAAAAGGGGATGATAAAATCCTACGCAGCGTCATCTGGTAATACTTCATGGTAAGATCTACCTATTGTCAAAATGTCTTAAAAAAGACGAGGGGGCATGTCGAAAAAAACAAAACGAGATAACTTCTTAATTGAATAATTAAAATTATACACAGCGTCATCTGGTAATACTTCATGATGAGGTTTATCGATGGTCCAAATGTGGTCATGATAACTTCAATAGAAACGGGGGAGGCCATGTCAAAAAATGTTGAAAGAAAAAAACATTACAAAAATAATGAGGTCTTTACCACGTTGGGAAAAGACCTTAATGAACGAATTGCAAAATTATTTCCTTAAAATGAAGCTGTGCTTTTTTAATCAAATGTGTGTGACTCGCATAACATATACAATAAACGCTACAATTTGGTATGACAAGTTGAGTTACGCTATCGTTCGATCGATAATTGCTTATCCGCATATTTCTTTTGAGCATATAATTACAAAGAGCATATATCTACCCTTTCAAACAGTATACATACTAAAAAAGAAAATAAGGTAACAAAAGAAAACAGTAACATTTATGGTAAAACGGTATTTGTGTGTCTTTTTGTTATGTTTTTGTGGTGTTTTGTTTCGTAGGGTTGTTGTCGCATTGACGAATATCTCATATATTTTATTCAAACTGACAAATATCATCTTGACTCAATACTTACTCAGGGCACATGTCTTCCCTTTCCAACTGTTTGGACATTGGCAAATGAAATCAGCTACTAAATCCAGACAGGATCCTCTATTTCTACATGGATTAGGGTAACAGTCATTTTTATCTATTGAATACATAAATAATACAATGAAAACAAAAACATCATTTTAATGAAAACTGTTTTCTCTAAATACGCGTCACTATGAAAGACATAAAGGTTGTTAAAACAAATTTCGATAATGAACGATCTGACTACCGAGTAAACAATCAATTAGAAATTCATTATGGCAGTTGTGTAAAATTAGAAAAAAAATGATACTTTTAATTTGTCGACCGCTACTGCAAATACAAATGGAAAATAAAAAAATTACGATACAATAGTCTAATTTTGTTTCTAAATATTTCGAAAGACATTATGAAATGTGAAAATAAGCTTTGGCTTGGTCTCCAAATTTGATTGTGCTTTCAAAAAAAGACGCTGATAGACAGATATAAAATGGAATTACTTTCTGTTACCACAGAACATGGGCGTAGTCTTAAATATATTTTGCCAGAAAAACGATATCTACAAATATAATTCCTGTGAAAAACGACAAAAAGATACCAAAGTATAAAATATATTAAGTCGAAGAAAGCATGACAACACCATGACAAAAAGAACAAAAATAACAAAAATTGAACACGAACCCCACTAAAACCCGGGGGGGGGGGGGGGGGGGGGGGGGAACTCAACAGTTCCTGCTCCACTTCCGTCGTGAACCTTAAAATCAATCGAAAACACATAACAGTTGGTAATAGATTGGTTAATGACTCGTGTCTAACCCTAAGACATTACTTAATTGGAACCATCGATACAAGTAATTTCTCTAGCACTAATACATAATCGAATATGAAAGTTTGAAATGGGAGCACAGTTTTTGTAGACAAGGATAAATAATAAAACCGGTCTTGAAAAATAACATAAATTCAACAAAAAAAACTAAAGAAGAAGCAACATTGAAATGACCGTAACCATGTGCTCTGTTCCCGTAGTGGCACATATCGTGTACCTCATGACAAACAGAAGACAAAACCGGATTGTGTCCGTGACAGATATTCCAAAACGGGTAACCAAATCATCACTGTGTTCGTAAAAATGTAAGAAAATACCAAGAGTTATGAACAACCAGTCTCATAGAAAAGACGACGAATCTAACCCAACATATTGTTACGAATGAGATGAAGTTGGTGATAAATGGTGCTCTACCTAGATTTATTTCTTTTCCCTAATGAATAGAAATATTTCCAAGGGTTACTTCAAAAAAAATTAAAGATTTAATTTTTACTTTAGCTATATAAATGGTGTTCTTTTTTTTAATATCAAATGTAAAGATTGTCTAACTTAAAATAGGCCCTAGGGCTTGCTTCATATAAGTACTCACATTTCTCAATGCACACCGAAAGGTGTAATTTTTTTAAACTTGATGACTAACGTATCATTTTAATTTCTGATTTCTCTGTTTTTAAGTAGCAATAACTGCATCGCTTTGATATGGAGTTGATTCGCATTAACTTTCCATTAAAGAAACAGCCTATCACATAAACTTTTCAGTCATTGTTGTATGCGACCAAATTGATATATTCCATGTCAACAGTCAAACAGTTTCGACGTGCGCCATTACGAATTCAACAGTCGTTCTCAGGTGCGTATGGAAATAAGCGTATGAAATAAATTTCAGTGCGGACGACAAATGTTTCTGAATAGGTTACATTTGGTAAACTCGAGACGATAAATGTTTGAAAGCATTTTTTGTAAACATAAAAATGAATAAGGCCCTAACAAAACAAGCTAAATCATCAATGGTCAACTTTCGCCCACCAAGTTGCAACCTTAGTTTTATAACAATTACTAAGCTTATTAAATGTATTTAGCAAACCTTTACAATAAAAGGAAAAACCACTTCAATAACGCCAGTATCGATGCACTTACAACTAAGATGGTAATTCAAACTTGCAAATAATTATATAGAACAATACATATAAGGAATGATGTTTATGGAAGGTCAAAAATAGACAGACAAAGGCGTGTATGGCTAGACGCCGATAGTTCCTTCCCATTTAAGTTTTAATTCAATTACTTAACACAAACAGTAAAAAACACAATAAGAATGTACCAAATGAATAATGTCTTTATCGATGCACTTGCTACTGGGATGGAAGTCGTATTCAGTAGACAGAAACTTTTATCAGAAGGTCAACGACATATGTCAGGCACAATACGTCAATTGTATATAAAAAGCAATAGCACTATCGATTTAGAAAAGAATGAAAAAAGCCAAAACAAAAAAGTAGTTATATTGAAGATACATTCTGTTTATTGATATACATATATATGCTTTATTTGCAGTCTTTAAAGCAGTTCAGCCATCAATGTAAGTGTTATTGTTAGATTAAATATCATTGAATTAAAAAAGAAAAACGTTATATCTGTTCAGAGAATGATAAACAATATTAATTCAGTTTAAGTTCCTGACCATAATGTTAAAACATACACAGTCTGGAAGAGCACCAACTCACTAAGGTAAAATTCAAGGCAAATCAAAAGTCCACAGGACAATAAATGACAGCAACAACCAAAAAGAAAACTAGCCCACAAATACAATGTCATAAAAACATGTACATATGTAAAACAAATACGTGTACATATGTAAACAATTTACAGCTCTGAAAATTATTTTTAACTTGTAATAGTAACATAAGTCAGATTTAACGAATAAAAAAAATCAAAAACATAGTTGAAAGCCATTCATAAATTCGTGTATTCTATTAAACAAAAATAACGATACACAGGTTTGAACTCGAATTAATAATGACATATATCGAACAGTAAAAACTGTTAAATTATCAACTAAAAAACATTTGTTTGCAAAGCGGGTGCATATGATTCAGAAAATCCATGTAATGGAACTTAGGTTTCACATTTTTTTGGCGGAAAATGATGACAATTTGGTAAATATTTGCATCGGGATTTCGAATATCGGTATTTGAGATTTTTTATGAAAAAAAATTTTGAAATCAACAGATTTGAATATAGTGCATTTCACAACGGTTTTATGAGAGAACATTCTTTTATAAAGAATAGACCAATTGGACAATTTCGAAACCATGAACAGTGTTTTATTACATATGGAATATGCATTTTGTTTATCGTTTCTTTTATTGACTAGTATATTTTTGGAAGATGTCTCAAAAAAGAGGAGGATGATAGCATAGGGTCATTCAAAACTCACAAGTCGAAACACACTGATAACGCTATAACGAAAAACAAAAGAGAAGGAAATGAAAAACAAGTCCTCAAAACCCTACATAGAAAAGACTGAGCAACACGAACACACCAAAAATCTTGGGGTGATCTCAGGTGTTCCGCTAGGGTAAGCAGTCGTATTGCTCATGGTAAGTACAAAGTCGGTGATGAGTTTCATTCGGTAATGTCATAATCGAGGAAAAGAGGATACATTGTATTTCCGACTATTGGATTATGTCAGTGGTCATCTGTGACACAATTATACCATAAGGGTCAACCAACTCGTGTTGTCGTCCGTAAAAGTTTCGAAAGGATAACTTTAACTTGGAACCCTTAGTTCAATGATTTCAGAGAAGTAGCTATGGTCCTCTCAAGGAAATATACTATATAAAATATATAACGAATCAAATGGATAGAAAACACATGACTAAAAACAAATTAAAACAACAACGCACAACAACGTACCAAAATAAAAACAATAAACGTAAAGAAACATTCACAAATAAAAGTGAATACAACCTTCAGCATAAGAGAAGGTACTACCTTTAAGAAAAGGGACGAAAAGCCTCGGGTAGTCCTAATGCTAAAAATTCAAAAGAAACAAATGTTGACCTTAGTTTAACGTATACCATACAAACGTATGTTAGGGGTAACTACAAATCTGTTATTGTTGCCCTAAATAAATGGGTAGTTCTCAAAATAAAATTAACAAGTATAACTTACTATTGTTACACAGTAGGCCTTCGTATCCCTCTTTACATATACACTGAAATGAGTTTACCATATCTACACAAGTGCCAGAATTTTGACATGGATTACTGAGGCAGTCGTTGATATCTGAAAATGAGATAAGTAGTCATGATACAACTGTGGAACTTTACGTTATTTCTCTTGAGAACTGCATAATAATCTAATTATTTAAAAAACGACTCTACTTCTTTGATAAATTAAGTGATCGGTTTATATGAAAGCTTTTTTAAATGGGACTTCTGTCCGTTACGCCTATGAATGAAATGACGGGGTAACTGTTCAACCTTTTTTCTCTGAAACAACTGTTTCTGGAATAGTCTTCATCGACCGCTATTCAAAATGCTTTTTAATAAATTTCGGCTCCTGTATCTCTAACAGTATCACATGCAGGGAAACAAAACTGTATCGTCTGGCTTAAATATTAGCAAAAGCGTATTTAGAAACATCAGTGATTACCAAGGCTAAGCAAACATTATCTTTATCCCACTTCCCTTCAACATGAATAAACTTATAAAGATCCTAGGATAAAATTTATTACACCAGCCGTAGTCAGTAGCATACAGCAATACATTTTAAACAATAATAATGTAAGTGTAGTTTTCTAACAAATTTTATACAAAAACATAAGTTAAGTAATCGCTTGGAGCTTAGAAATCTACTCGAAAAATGGAGGATAAGCTTTGGGCTTGATTTTCAGAATTTGCAGTTTATTTAAAACACCATGTAAGAAATCAAATGCTCGTTTCCAGTTAAAAAATTACTCGATAAAACATATATTTTGTACATACTTTCATGACAATATGCCCCAGTAAATCCTGTATCACAAACACAACTGTACTGGCCACCAGGTCTACTTATACATATCCCGTGCTTTCCACAAACATTTGATGAGATCAACTGTACTCCTCCTATTGAATTGTTATTTGGTAAAGCTATTGTACAGCTGTCAATCACTACAACAACAAAACATTTTATTCAAATTAGATTAGGTATAGATTTTTAATTTAAAAAAAGTTAATACTTCTAGTACACTGCATAACATCTATACATTATCGAGGCATTTCCATACTAAAGCAAAATACTATTATCACTTTATAAGACAGATTATCAAGATATATATCGACTCATCAAATATATCAAGCATAAAATTTGAATGTCAGTGGTATGTTTCGTGTACATAAGTTTCTTCTGTAAAGCTCGATGTAAAATGACCGTATGTGTTAGAAATATATTCAGGGGTTTCAAAGCTCTTCTTGGAATCCCCAAAAAAAAATAAATATGTAATATCCGAAATAAGTGTGTATCATTTATCTTCCTAGAATAAGCCTAATCATCTGTATATAAAACCAAAATTAAGATTTAAAAATAAAATAGATAACTGGGGCTTCAAAACCAAAAAGACGGTTAAAGTATTACTAAGCCATCAAAATCAAACTTTGCTAGAAGAAATTGCAATTTTTTTGCAGCCCAATAACGAATATTTATATTCAAAATTAAGCATATAAATTTTGTCAATTCCGAAGTACTAATATTGAAATTTGGTTATTATTTGAGGTCACTTTTAGTTATATAACTTCTCACGGTTTCAAGTCTAATACATCCCTGGCTTTCAAATTTTGGGGATTTGAGTGTTCCTGATGACAGTAAAAAGCGCGTCGGAGTCACGAATTTTATAAAGTGTTTTCTTTCATTGTTGGGATTGATACATTTGGAGTCCCTGTGTTATTAATTATTTATTGACACTGATTATCTTGATATGCATTGGAGTGCAACTGTTATGATTTGGTCTTACTCCATGCGACAGTCTTTCCTCCATGTATTTTAATGAATGTTATTTTATCATTTCCTTTGTTGACCTTACATGAGTTATACATAATTTATACATGCGTGTTACCACAGATATACTAAGAGTAGTTAAATTTGCTTCATATCTTGAGTTATATCCAGAAATTGACAATGAGGTTCGATAGTGAACAAACTTTACGACAAAAGAGATGATTCAATTTTCAAATTGTAAAATTCCAATTTCTATGTAGCAACACTCCAGCAGCGACCGCATATTGTGCATATATCTCCCAGTTGAAACGATTTTCCAGAGCTTGTGTTTTTCATCATGAAGCTGACGTCATCCGTTCGGAAGTTTTATGGACGCATTCGAGTGTTGGTTGACCGTTATGGACATGTCACAATCTGTGTGACGGACGACCACGGTATGTTCCAATTGTCGCAGCTACACTCCCGTCCTGTTTTCCTCAATTGTGATATCACTGAATGAGCTTTAATACAAAATATGTAGTCACCATGAGGAACACGACGGGTGCCACATATCGGGCAGGTTCTTCTTAACCTTTTAGAACCTGAGATCACCCCATGTTTTGTTTAAAAAGGGTTCGTGTTGAACTTGCTTTAGTTTTCCGTGTTGTGTTTTGTGTTTTCAAATTTTCCAATGTCTGTTTTGTTTTTTCGGGTAATAGTCTTGTCTATATTTTGTCTTGAAAAACAAATTTCAATTACAAAATTTCTTTTTCGGTCAAGTTGTCGGGTTTAAAAATTGACATGACCGATGGTTTTCCAATTTGGTGATGTGACGGTTAGTTAATCTGCTATTTCGTAATGCTTCATAGCTACCAATCTGCTATTTCGTAATGCCTCATCACTTCATATAACTAACGTTATAGAATGGCCTGCGTAACACGACGGTTGACTCATATTGAGTAGGATTTGTTAACGATACTGGAGGGCCTGAGACCACTACCCGTTTTTAGATGGGGTTTGTGTTGCTCAGTCTTAGTTTTTTGCGCAGTGTTTTGTAGACTGTTGTTCGTCTTTTTGTCGTTTTTTGTTTGTTTTCACCATGATTTTGTAAGTATCTCTTCGATTTTTTAGTTTAGATTATCCTTTTAGTACTGTCTGCCTCCTTTGACAGTACAGTAATGTTTCATACCTTGACACGCATCAGAATCACATGTAGTTTTGATTTCATCACAATATCTCCCTTTCCTGTCTTTAGTACAATGACAGTAAAAGTCATCCTGGACGTTAAAACAACTAGCACCGTTTTTGCATGGATTAGGAAAGCATGGGTCAATGTCAATCTGAATTAAAAAAGTGGAATCACATTTTTTGTCCCAAACATTTATAAAACAATCAATACTCATGAAGTTTAAAAAGTCATTACTTGAAGTCCCAATGGTTTACAGATTTATGTTTCCACTGAGACTAGTAATGATCTAATTCACGTTGAGTATCTGATATGAATATAAAGTTTATGAAGATCATTCAGGAACCTGGTATCGCGAACTAAAACGTGGTTCCCAAGTGTTATTAATACTTCTTACTCCTGATGGACAGATAATATCCTACTGTTATATTAACCGAGTAGACAGGGGTGTAATATGGGTATTATTCAAATGATAGATTCTGATTAACAATTTTCAGTATAATGTATATAAATTAGGTTATTGTTTTATAACTATAAATTAATGCCCTTCTCCGGGCATAGTTCAGTTCAACCTCAGTTAATTGTAATGTTTTTAAAATGTTCTGTTTTGTTGGCTTTCCAAACTCTTGGTCTCCAGCCTACCTAGTGAATATTATTCCGGAAACGTTTATCATTCGCACGCATATCAGTATTAGTAAGTTTATTTCTCATAGAATTAAAATATCGGAAATGTAGAAGAACGGAACGCTTAAAAACCAACTTCCTTGAAAAGTGGTAATGACAAGCCCAAGCAACGCAAAATAATTGTAGCCATACATCTTCCTTTCAACAATTACTACACAGACAGTTAAAGCATGGGAAACTCAAAACACATGCATACAGTCCCAGAATTGAGTAAATTTACCTATAAAACGTGTAAGGTGAAACAGTGTTATGTTGTATGTTTGGAGTTTAATGTATGGTGCATGAGGAATTTTGTCTGGTGCTTATATTTTAGTTCATTTCTTAAAGGATGTATTGAATTCCCTTATGATTGGAAAAATATGTATGGGAATTGGTATGTGGTATAAGTGGAAGGTTTAAACCCTTCGAAGACTGTAACTGTAGTTACAAATCTTAATTTTTACACGTACATGTACTTCAAATTTAGAAATAAGTGACAGAGAATAATTTTATCCATGTATCATTTAATTTTGACTTCTTGTTTACATTTTTACACTTACCTCACAGTTAAAGCCCGAGTAACCAAGAACACATTCACAACTATAGCCAGCTATTTGATCATGACATCTTGCTCTATTTTTACAAGGGTTGCTGTTACATTCCATTATTTCACTTTCACAGTTACGTCCTGTATAACCAGATGTACACGAACAGTGGTAATCTGCAACAAGATCCTGCAAAGAGCCATTATAATCACAAAATCATTAAATAATGCATCGATTAGTTTGTCAAATGGGACCCAGCTGTAAATATTTCATGCTAATCAGAGACATGACTAAGAAGGTTAACAATACATTAATTTGTCAATAAATAGAAGATATTGGGATACAAAAAAGACAAGAACTGCCACGTGATTAACAAACAGAAAAAATGCGGGTCGTCAAACGCATTTTTTATACACAAAAGATGTCTTCACGTGAAGAAAATATAACACTGTATAAAACAACTTAGCTACGAATACAACAGAAACAGGTAAGTCTGCCTCATATCTTGACTTTCATCTAGAAATTGACAATGAGGGTCGGTTGAAAACCAAACTTTACGACAAAAGAGATTATTCCTGCTCCCCAACTGTCAACTTTCCATTTTTATGTAGCAACATTCTAGCAGCGCTGCATACGGATTATATATATCCCAGTTGATACGATCGATATTCCAGGGCTTGTCTTTCCTATCATGTTTTCCTTGATAGAGGGTTGCTGCTCATAAGGAACCTCACGAGGTGGTTGACCGTTTCATAGATGACAACGGATATGTTCCAATTGTCATACCTACAATCCCGTCCCCTTTTCCTCGATTGTGACCTACCGAATTAGACTTATCACAGGGTTTGTACTAACATGTGCAACACGACGGATGCCACATGTGGAGCAGGATCTGAGATCACCCAGTTTTTGGTGGGGTTCGTGTTGCTCAGTCTTTAGTTTTCTGTATTGTGTTTTGTGTACTGTTGGTCTTTTTCTTTTTTAGCCATGGCGATATCTGTTTATTTTCAACTTATGAGTTTGAATGTCCCTTTGGTATCTTTCGCCTCTCTTCTACGACAGCTCTTCTCGTCTTTTGTTTACGTATAGATCCTTGGTCTCCAAATATTTGGCTTTCAGCGTTAGTGATGAAGGTAGATCCAGAAAGCGCTTCAGACGCATAAAATGTATAAAGTGCCATTTTTATTTTTTTAGAGCATTTGTGTTTTTGGTACTTATCATGCCGTTATCATAGAGTTAACTACGTACTATCCCTGTACTTACTCTATTGTTTAAAATAAGGAAAAGTTGTATGATTGGCAATGTTCTTTCATGAACTATACGGACTTAATAAACAAGGGCGTGTTCCTAACACAATTATCCTACAGCAGGGTAATAATAAAGAACTGCGGATATCGCTACCTTTTTTTTTCGCTGTCACCATCACATCACAAATAAGTTGAACGTTCGGATGTGTCTGTGTCTCAACAAACGAGAGACATGTGTTCGCAGTATTAGACCCTACGATATTTACCGTTGGAGTCCATTTCCCTACCGGTAAATTTTTAATTGAGTCTTGACTCGAATGGCGGTTGATGCATGAATAATGCATGAAACCCGCACTGTCGCTGTTCCTATACTTTGATTACGGTATACATGCATCAGATATAAACATTCAATATTCCATTTGTTGTATCGATAACGATGTTCTCCTTCTCTCGCTTTATGACTAACCATAGAATAGGAATTGTACTCGTATGCAACACAATTCAATTTGTGGATTATTCTACCGGAGCGCCTGTCGATGCACCCGATCTTGGTCTTTTTAGAGCTTATGCGATTTCCCTCAGTTTTTGTTTGTTACTTTGATTTGTCTCTTCTTAATCAATTTACAAGATTTGAACATCGGTAAACTATTATCGCCTTAATTCAACCTGTAATTTTACAGGTTGTGTCCTATTACAGTTTGTGACATTTTGTCTGGGTGTTGATTCGCATAGCAGGGATGCATGAATAGAAGGAGACGATAACCGCTGTCGACACACCCGATCTCGCACTTTTTGAAAATCGTTTGATTCCCTCAGTTTTTTGTTTGTAAACTTGATTTTTCTTCTTAACCGATATATAATTTTGAACAAAGATAAACTACTGTTGTTTTGATTTATCCACTTTTATTCTGCAGTTCGTGCTGTAGGTTTTTATACAAGTGTTTCATATTGCAACATATGGATGTGCTGCTTGAATCTTTTGGATATAAGTCAGATAAACCGATTAACAACATATTAAGTTCAAGAACTTAGGTTAGGACACTGGACTTTAGAGATTTCTCCCTACCAAAAGCATGGCCATTGCCTATATCCCTACCTCTTCTGATATTCACATAAAGAACAATATACAATCGATTTTATTTCCATCAAATGTTATCTACTTACGATGCATCGTCCACCATTTTGACACTGATAATGACAATCATTGATATCTACAACAATTAACGTACTAAAAATATTTCGAACAAAAATAAAAATCGTCTTCTTATGTTAAGTGTTATAGTGTTATAATGTTGTAATGTACAATTATATTATATATTTATGTATTTCTCTGTGCTGAGTGTTCTTGCGTTTGTTTGTACTGTATTCCTGTCACGTAGTGTTGTCATTCTAGCGGTATATTTAACATTGCCATATAAGCGGGAGGTTTAGCTAGCCATAAAACCAGGTTCAACCCACCATTTTTTCTTAAAATGTCCTGTACCTGTTATGAGACAGTCCGTTTCTATGTATGTTGGCGTTTGCATTTGTTGTAGTTCAGTGTTTCTGTTGTTCCGTTGTTTTCCTCTTATAGTTGATGTGTTTCCCTCGGTTTTAGTATTTACCCGGATTTGGTTTTTGTAATCGAATTATGACTATTGAACAGCGGTATACTACTGTTGTCTATATTTATCGATTTTTTTAATTAGAAGACTCGACAATAATAATCTATTTTTAAAAAATATAATAGACAACAAAACGAAAGAATACAGAGAAATCACAAAGAAATATCAGGCCATAAACACAATGTTTCTTTTAACACATACTATTGAATACAAAAGTTCAGAGACTCCATTTCGTCATTGAAATCCTCAAGTCAAGTAAGGCTGAATTTTGCCCCCACAAGAAATACAAGAAGTTGAAGAAATAGATAGAATTTGTTTTTTATTACATTATTATTCTTAATCTGTGATATACATCATATTATGGAAGAGTCTGTCTTAATGTTATTTATGTCTGCATATCTATATATATTATCAAGAAGTTTATAAAATCTATTTTTTTTTAATATTTTTTATCTTATTCTTATTATACTTAATGCTGAGATTGTATTGGTCAATACTAAAACCAATCAAAAGGTTACATAGAGAAAGATGCTTGTCGTCCGTATCCTAGGAAACAAATATGACATCTTTTAAACAATGGGACGTCACTTGATGATCTTAAAAATGGAATATTGATGAACTAAATAAAAAAAAACCTACATCCAATGGTTTGCAAAATTCAGCAGTTATTGGGTAAAAACTGAAAAATGTATCCACATTACACCTTCAGAACATTCACAACTATTCTATGAAATATAAAGAATCTCGGTTGTTAAGTGAATGAGGAAAAAATTTTACAAACCATAAAAAAAATAAAGTAGGGTTAATTAAAATCACCGACTTTTCAATTGCTTTATTTCGAACTGTGTGTGAAGAAAGCACACATATCAAATCATAAGCCTGTTATTATTTTTTTTTTATCCAAGATGATTTATACGAGTTTTCTTTAGATCTTAAGATACCAGCCTAGTTGTCTTAACTGTAGTACCGATTGTGTCCTATTCATGATTATGACATTTTGACTGATTACGGGTTCGCAAGGCGAGTGATGTTTGCAAAGCGGCACACTTACACTGTCGACGAACCCGGTGTCTCTCCGTTTAGAGTTAATCCGATTCCCTCAGTTTGTGTTTGTGTTGTATATCTGTCACTTAGTGTTGTCATTTTAGCGATATTTTTTAACATTTTCATAAAGCGGGAGGTTTGGCTAGCCATTAAACCAGGTTCAGCCCACCAATTTATCATGAAATGTCCTGTACCAAGTCAGAAATATGGCAGTTGGCGTTTGTTTTTGTTGCACTTCAGTGTTCCTGTTGTTCCTTTGTTTTACTCTTATAGTTGATGTGTTTCCCTCGGTTTTAGTTTGTAACCCGGATTTGTTTTCTCTCAATCGATTTATGACTTTTGAACACCGGTATACTACTGTTGCCTTTATTTACCTTGATTTGTCTTCATAATCTTTTTTTATTATTTAACATCGGTAAACTTCTGTTGCCTTAATTTATCCTAGTTTAAATATAAAGATAAGGCGATGTGGTATGATTGCCAATGAGACAGCTATTCACCGATCGAAGAGGGTGGCAGGATAAAACAGAAGGATAAAATTAGTTTAAAGTAGGTATTTTCAAATTGTTAGTAGTAAGAAGTTTTTCATTTATATTTTATTCAAAATTATATTATACTCCGGAAATAAATTAACATGCATTTATAGGTTGACATTTCTGACACATCTTTTATCAGTAATGTAAGATAAATAATTAAAAAAAAAAACGCTTAAATATGACCCCATTCCCATATATAATCATATGATGGACACCTCACAAAGAACCGAAACTCTAACACATTGGAAGCAACTAATGTTTGTTGTAAAGAGAAATTTCTTTCTTGTTTAAAAGTAAGCATACTTATATCACAGTTTTTGCCTTTCCAGCCTTTCAAACAATGGCATATGTAATCTCCAAGCTTATCCTCACACGCATGCGCATTTACACATGGACTTCCACTACACTCAGTTTTGCTCAGCTGACATTGAGGACCTTGCCATTCTGATAAACACTGGCAGTGATATTCGTTGACATCATCAACACATGTGCCTTCATGTAAACAAGGATTAGATTGACATTCATTTATATCTGTAAAGAAAAGTATAGCTAATCATACTTACACATGAAACACATACGTCATTAATATTTATCATGGTTTCTTCTGTACAAATCACAAAATAATGTTCATTGTGAATTCTTTAATAATTCTTAAGAAATGAACATTATTTTTTGATGTTTGCCATAACAGTCTCCAATCAGTGTTCATTTCCGATCAGTATATACGTATGTTTCAAATAAATAATATCTTCACTAGTTTGTATCACAAACGTGGTCCAATTTGTATTATTCGTCATTTTTGGGTCGTCAGTATAAACTGGAAAGTATCAGATTTTTACTATAATTATAGTGTACAATATTTTGGTTTGAGTGAGCTGTAACTCAGAGGGCACGTTGTTGTGACAATTTTACATTACATAATCACTTTCGCTGGGATCGGGTGATTGTCGTTCAGAAAACAGGAAGTGGAAGATATCAAGGGGACATAAGTCGAAGAGAAAATAACAACACCATGTCAAAAAGTAAAGAGGACAAAAAGACGAAGAGAAAACAACAACACCATGTCAAATAGTAAAGAGGACGAACAAGTCAACATAACAATGAATAGAAATCTAAAGACTGAGCAACACGAACCCAACCAAAACTGAGGGTGATCTCTGGTGTTCCGGAAGGTAATCAGACCTTGCTAGTAGCACTCATCGTGTTGCTCATTGTTATCATCATATGGTTAAGGCAATGGTAATACATTCTGAAATCATTTAATATGGGAAAATACTTCGTCATAATCTTTTTGCACACGTCGCCGTGTTTACATCTCAATATTTATCAAGAAAACATGTGCACTTCTGTAGCAACGAAAAAAAGAATGTCAAAATCAAGGTAAGTGCATGTTGTGTCCTGAAACTAAAAAAAATAGATTAAGACATTCCGGCAAAAGATTAGCTGTTCCGGGCATAAGATTAAGACATTCCGGTAAAATATTAGTTGTTCGGGAAATAAGATTGAGACATTCCGGTAAAAGATGAGTTGTTCGGGAAATAAGATTAAGACATTCCGGTAGAAGATGAGTTGTTCGGGGAATAAGATTAAGACATTCTGGTAAAAGATTAATTGTTCGGGGAATAAGATTAAGACATTCCGGTAAAAGATGAGTTGTTCAGGGAATACGATTAAGACATTCCGGTAAAAGATGAGTTGTTCGAGATATAAGATTAAGACATTCCGGCAAAAGATTAGTTGTTTGGGAAAAGTAGTAATATCAGTAATTAGGCTCACTTCCTTCACATAAACTTCCGGACCAGCCAGGAAGACAATGACATCTAAATCCGCCGTTTACATTTTCACAAGTAGCTTCATTGAAACAAGGACTAGAAGAACACGCCAAATCCGCTGAAATAATAATAATTATAAATAGATAATTTACAATATCATACAAATCAACCATTATGTTTGCAATGTCATACAAATCAACCATCATGTTTGCATATTCTTAAATATGCCCTTCTCTAATCGTTTTCTGATATGGTCTACGAGGTGATTGCAGCAAGCAAACAGGGTATGCTCACCCATCCAGATCCTCTGATATCAGTGAAGGCTTTTATTGGAGTTGCTTCTTTCTTATATCCGATCTTAATTTGTTTGTGTTTGCTGTTTTTGCGTCTGTCCTGGCCTGCTTTGAGTGGTGTCGGTTATGAACATCCTCTCTAGATGTTCGATTTATGGCACAGGCTTTCACGTCGGTAATCGTATAAATACATATATTATTCGTAGAGAAATGCTTTTATACATTATATATGATACTTTCGTTTTACAATAGTTTTTTCTCTCTCTCAGATTTCTAAGATAACCCGATCAATATTTAATTGATTTATGTATTTTCGTTATAATAATGTCTACATTCTAACATAAAAAAGCGTTGTAAATAAGTATTGTAAGGAATATGACAGTTGTTTTTCATTCGTTCCTTTGGTTGATATAGTCTAACGTTAGATTTTGTCGGGTTTTATGAACTTTTTTATTCTATCTTGGAGTAGGCTAATTTTTGCACGAAACGTGCGTCTGGCGTACAAAATTTTAAGCCTTGTTACGTATCTATGATGAGTTAACTGATGACGAGACAGTGTCAATGTTTATTCCAAATCCCTTCAATATAAAATAAGGAGATGTGGTATGATTGCCAATTAGACAACTATCCACCAAAGTTCAAATAAAGTGAATGTAAGCAATTACAGACAACCGTACGACCTTCAACAATAAGAAAAACCCATAGTCGGCTATAAAAGGCCCCGACGTGAAAAATATGAAATAAAATTGAGAATGGAAATGGGGAATGTGTCAAAGAGACAACAACCCGACCACAGAACAGACAACAGCAGAAGGCCACCAACAGGTCTTCAATGCAGCGAGAAATTCCCGCACCCGGAGGCGTCCTTCAGCTGGCCCCTAAACAAATATATATACTAGTTCAGTGATAATGAAACAATTCAATTGAGAAAACTAACGGCCTAATTAATAACAAAACAATTTACGAAAAACAAATATGACAGACATGAACCAACGACAACCACTGCAATTCATATAAGAAATTTTATCTAATTATAAGACTAAACTTACTTACTTCTTTGACAATTATTGCCAGAATAACCAGGAGGACATTTACAATCATACTGATTTGGTGCAGAATTCAAACAAATGCCGCCATTTGTACAAGGATGGTGACGACCACAGAAATTCAGGTCTGCAACAAAAATTCAAATAAACAGAACAATAGCAAATGTACTTAGCAATGACAGCAATGTCATATAATAAGAGAAATAGTAGTTTACAGATGTTCTAAACTCGTATTTGGAGTATACTAACCAATAGAAAAATGTATTTCTATTGTCGTCTGGTCTGTAAATTTAACGAGTCTGTCCTATTCCCTATCGTGACCCTAGATTCGCGATGCGGGTGATGCGTTCATAAAAGACGGTTTCCCTGTCGACGCACACGACCTCGCTTCTCCTGAAGTTCGTGTTGTTCCATTAGTTGTTTTCACTTCATTTTTTTTATATTCAATATTGATTTGCGATATTTGAATATCAGTAAACTAGTGTACTGTTGCCTCCTAATCATATACATTAGTCTTCATATAAGTACAGGGCCATGTTATGCAGAAAGAAACAATTATTATCATTTGTGACACCTCTGACCATTGAAATGTCAATCCTTCAACTCAATATAGGCATGTTTTCAAAAAAATGTCCTTCATTGGTTTTCTGAATCAGTGTGCTTAATAACAAAATCCTGTAAGTGCGATGTTCGGACTCATGGCTTGATTAATTGATTGATTAAATATTGGTGTTTAACTCCACTTTCAGTACTCTTGGCTTTTATCGTTGCGGCCAGTTTTTATTGGTAGAGGAAGCTGGAGTTCCCAAAAAAAATCACCGACCTGCGGCAGGAAACTGGCAATCCAAGTCAAGGGAGAGTGCAGTCGAGCGCATCTGCCACGAATGCGGTTTGAACTCACAACTTAAGTGTTGACAGGCTAGTGGTTTATTTAGATGAACTACTTAGACTTCTTGGCCACCGAAGCCCCTCAGTCTCGTAGAAGGACAACCACTGTCATGATTGAATCAGCAAATTTAAAATTAAAATATTTGTTTAATTTTAATTATCAACATGTTTTAATGCACGCAATCGGTTAAACGCGTGTATGGAGCAACGTTTCTCCGTAAGAGAATGAAATATTAGTCTTAATGTTTAAAAAAATCATTTTGTTGCAGACTTCATTTTAAAAGTCTTATTTTTGAGTCTGTGTTATATTTCCTAGCTTGTAAATTGGAAATTTTAAAATACATATTCAACAAAAGAGGAATTATGACATCTTCACTGTTGTTCGAAACATTGACCAAGATATAAACACGATTTTAGAGGAAAAAATAACTTGCTTTCAGACAATTTAGACATAAACATTATAAAAAGTCAAGGATTCGTCTACTAATACTGAAAGGAACTTATACCGTAGTTATGATTTATACTGCTTTTGTTTACATAATCGTGATTTTGGTTCTTTTTTTCTTTTCTTCTGGTAAATTTGCGTCAAATCAGTTTTCATATAAAATAATGAAAAAAAAACTAAACAAAAGATCCGTGTTTTCACTTTTTTACATTAAGCATTAACATGTTGAAAAACGAAAATCAAACTATGCTTTTATCTTTCGATTTAAATATTTAAACAAAATAAAAGAATACGCGTTCATCTTTAGCTTTTGGGTATTGATTTAGAATAAAAAAAAACAAAAAAAACAAAAAAATAAAAAATACAATTACACAATATACAAATAAACTAAAAATGAATGTACGTTGTATGTTCATTCTTTTATTCAAATTAAGAATTAAATAATCAAATTCAATTTACGAGTGTTTGAAGAGCAAAACAATGTGAAATACTTTGAGAGCATGAAAACCAAAAGGATCATCATAAAACAGCCAACACGTATACCACCAAACTTACCTGAAGGAGTTGCATCCTAAGGTTTCGTATAATTACGTAATTATTAAAGTTTCACTAAAAGTAACACCCCAGTTTAAATCGCAAAACCATTGCCAGGGTGGTCCGTTACATGATCCATGCTAACAACCGGGTTATGGAATATATAAATGAACAAAATGTATTATTTACATAATGTCTATATTGAAGCACTTGCTACAGGGTAGTTGGTAACCTCGGCGATTACACGGTACACGGTACGGTATTTTCTCATTGTTGAATGCCGTACACTGGCCTATAATTGCCTATATCCATTACATTTGAGCTCTGGTGGATAGTTGTCTAATTGGCAATCATAACACTTCACTTTATTTTCATAAACAGAAAAACTAAAACAGCGTAGACCAAGTTTGTCTGAATTAACTGCGACTATTGTTTTAGTTCAAAAATATAATTATGAACTGGAAATTTACACACGAAATGCATTGTTTAATTCATGCCAGTGCTCGGGCATTGGGCTATTAGGCAGCTAGGACTGATATTTCACCAGTACCAACCCAATATAGTAATATAAAGACATATGATAACCATGTCCGTCTGTTCGACACGTGATTTGAAATAACCTTCATCAGGAGCGCTCAAGGTCATCAGTGGTATGGAAAACAATATAATGCTTGAGAGCGTTAAAACCAAAAATGGTATATAAACAGGGCAGCCAAAAACAGTCTAAGACCAAATTGATTGAGAACTAATGGAGGTAATACGGTGACCAATAGTTGCTTAATTTATACTGCATCAGAAATGGAATGCAGTTTGTCGATCCAAGTCAGTTATTCAGATATGGAATGAAGAGACATTTACAAAAAAAACTGAAAACCTAATTCGTTTTTGTGAATCAAAATCAAGAGTAAAGGCGGTAGGACAAATATTTCATGTTTCAAAATGTTATATTTGTCTGATCTGCTTAAAAGGCTGTGAATACTTTCGTCATGAAGCGGTAAAAGTTTTCCCGTTAAAAATCCATAAGAATATGCTGTATATCTTCGTTTCGCTCTATTAAATAAACTAAGGTTTACCTTGATCACATAAAGTTCCACCCCAGTTTAAATCGCAAAAGCATTGCCATGGTGATCCGTTACATGATCCATGCTTACATCCGGGATATGGAATACATAAGTCACAAAGTTTACCTTGCCACCCATAGGCACACCTACAAAAGAAAAAGGTTTGGCAAATTTTCACATGTTGCATATAAATTATGTGCATTAATAGTAGGAAAAGTGCGGTATATGTTACGACTACAAAAATAATTCCTGAGGTCAACATACGGTATTCAACAATAGACAGGTGTCTATTCAATGTACCAAACTCTTAATCGCCCCGAGTCTGAAACAGTTGTGAATAAATTCAAAAGAGACTGTCAAATACCAAATTCCGAAAATGTCGTAAAACCCGAACATTATGATATAATAAAAGAAAACCACATTCGAGGTTCCTGATATGATACAGACATAAGTACACCGATGGGAGCAAACAGGCAAAAAAAGGAAACTATAATAAGAGTATATTCGATTTAATGGGGTCATACCACTGCTGGTTGATGGATGGTATTAGAAACTCTTATATATCGCTTTTCTCCCTTTTCATATTTCTTATTTGTTTTGATAATTTCAATAGTCTAAGTCATTATCTAGACAGGAAATGGCGCCATATGTTTCTGAACGAAAGTAAACCATTACAAAAGAAAACCATTAATTTCTGTCTTTTTTACTAAACGTCACATTTTCAATTGAAAGGTCATGTCTTATACACTACAAATTATCCTTTTAATAAGGCAAGTTAACTACAAATGATAAACTACATATCAGGAAGTCGTTCTTCTGTAAAAATGAACATGTAAAATCGGAATGATGTCTTTTGTTATATCTAATACATAGACAAATTTATTAAAGCCACACTACACGGTCGTTAATTTTAGGTAGTAGACTTCCACGCTTAGTACGTACACGCTCCGGCAAACTTTCACACGGGAAAATGTTGCTTAAATACTATGCTGTTCTTTATCTATGGCAGAAAATAATAAATCTTGTACTAATGACAGTCGTATACTCATTTCAATGTAAAATTAAACAATCATTATTGTCTTCACCCCCGAAAATAATAATTATATCAATAAATTGACACGTCTTCTATGATACGGATTTAATTATACGTATCACTCCTTAAATTAATCATACCTTTCTGCATAACAGATATGCATAAATAAAATAATAATGTAGGCCTTCTGTTGGACTTTTATTGTTATGTACCGATACACAACAAATGATCATAAGCATTCATATATCAATAAGAATATTAAATGAAAGGAAATTCAAATTAATTATGAATGGAAAAATTCTACATACATAATTTCACTAAAGTAGGATGGGAGTCTTTCGTCATTGGATTGTACAATAGTAGAGACCAATATAGGTCTAGGATCAGCAAATGCGATGCAGGATTGCAATTTACTGATATGAAATTTCATTTCAATGAACAGAATTGTTTTATTTTATTTTAAAAATTACTTATATTTTTACAAAAGTAGAGGATTTTGCATTATTTCATTTTTTTTAAACTCAGCGTATTAAGGGGAGTTAACTCTGAAATTGTATAATTTATAAATCTTCAGGATGTTCTTCTATTTCATGTTCATTTTGCCGATTTACCTATTTGAATGTGTCCTTTAAACTTGAACCCGAAGTTTTATAAGATATGTCCCAGAGAATGAAATTTGGTGCAAAAAGCAAAAACTTAATAAAATTATTTTTTTAAATATCTTTAACTCGACACAGAGAGAGAAGTTTACTTATCACGTTCAAACTTTGAAATTCGTAAACTTATCACACAATTTAGAATATGCGACTTGAATTAGCCAGATATAAAAAGTACCTTGAAATCTTAGTGTATTTGTGATGTATGCTTTAGTTATGATGTAGAAGATGCATTTCATTTATTCTTCCATTGCAAAAGAAAGATAAAATGTAAGAAACAATATGACTTGGGTGAAATGGTTTCACAAAAAATGGCCTCATGAGTTTCACTAATAAAAAGGTTGCATGGTATTCATAACCAAACAAATGTCCATCATTCAGGTACAAAGAATGAGTTCTCTATAAAACGGCCAAAATAACTGAGGACCAGGACTCTTGATGAACTGATAGCTGTAAAATTAGTCATATATAGTATATAGGTTTTATGTTTATGTATTTTTTATTATTTTGTTTTGTCACAAGTTAGTTTAAGGCTAAATACATTCAGATCCGAAATAGACTGTTAGATTTTGCTCTGACAAATCATTCGTTCGGTATAGTTGACTTTCATTATTTTTTACATTCAATTTCATTTTTTTTACAAATCAAATGTTGCGACTCAACCATGCAAATCGACCTTTAAAGTCACTAGATTTTGGTTTAGAGGTCTTCTCATATGTTTTTGTTTGTTTGTTTGTTCCCCGTGTATTGAAAAACTGTTTGCATACCAACGTTAGGTTCCGAGAACGAGAAACCTAGAGATGTTTTCCCAGCGTAAGTTTCTGACGACGAGAGACCTAGAGATATTTTCCCAAATGCTATGTTCTGATGGTGTCTGAGCGATCTAGAGGTGCCTCCTCGCAGTATAGCATACATCTCCTTATATTCTTACCAAATGAGACACTTTCATTTCTTAGGGTTATGTAAAGTTTAAAACGATATTTACATAACTTTCCGGAACCAATTTATATAATTTTTCTTCCAAAACTAACAGATGTATTGTATCTAACAACATTTGACACTTAAATTAAAACTTTGATGTTTTGGTTTTTTTTTATTTTTTATTATTTTGGCAAAACCCTAGAATTTATGTTTCTAGAATCCTGAAACGGTCATTTGCAATCATCTACTGATGAAGTCGGTGAATAGCATTGAGCGTTACCGATTTCACTGCACTAGACGAGCATTTCGACAATGAAGCTCGAGGCCAAAATGCCTAAATACCAAAAACCTTATACAACCGTTGAAGAGCAGCTGTAACAGAAAAGAACCAAACGTATCGCCAAGTTAGGTTTTAATCCACACAGGTTTCAATGGAGGAACTGTCAAAGTAAATAAACATATGATCTGAGCTATCTACTCAATAATACTAATAAAAATACATAAAACAAAATCTATTTTATACATTTTTACAATACCTTAAGCCCTAAACAACTGCAGCAGAACATATCAAACAAAATAAGTCAAACTCAGATGTAGCACCAGTCTCCTTACGATGACCGACAAATTGTCCGTTTATAATTATATGACTGTACAATTGTTTGCTATATATTTCATATAATAACACACAGAAATGAAGGACCCCATCCAGACCCTCATTTACTCATGAATACTTCTATCATTAATGTGGAATTTTCAATGTGTATAGATATAAGAAGATGTGGTGTGAATGCCAATGAGACAACTCTCCATCCAAGTCAAAATTTATAAAAGTAAACCAATATAGGTCAAATAACGGTCTTCAACACGGAGCCTTGGCTCACACCGAACAGCAAGCTATTAAGGGCCCCAAAAATAATAAATGTTATTTTAGTTGTTATTGTCAAATTGGCATAGTATAAAATAAAAAATGTATCTTTTATGATTGTATTGTATATTTGTATGCAAAAATTGAGACGTAAATAAAATATTGAATTGAATTGAATTACTTTCGGTGTCACCATCTTTATTTTTCAACTTAATTTTTAGCATTATCCATATTCCTTAAAAAGTTTTAATGTTTGTAAAGGAGATCATAAACTGTAAGTTTGATTTTTAACAGAACTGCCTTCATTAAATACTCGTCGCATTCAATGCATTAAAATTTATGCATCTTACATAGGTAATAATAATCTAAGCATTCAGGTGTCAAATTAGCATAAAGAAGCATGGGAAAGGTCAGAAAATGGCTTATGGAATGCATTATTATATGAATATGAATATTTTATTTTACTGCCATGAACAACACACAGAATTAGATGGATTTGCTTTCAATTGAAGTGAACTGCATCCAGTAACCACAAGATATCTATTGTTGAGATTGTATTTTAAACATGTCATCATCTTTCACTAGTAAATTATAATTTTCATATTTTTTTTCATCAGGTGTCAAACTCGTCATTTTTGGCATAAACAGAATTTATAATTATAACATTAAACGTTAAATAAGATTTTTATTTAATCTTAACTATTTTCATATCCTCCTTTTAATATGCTCAAAATTGATGAAAACGTTCGAAAAAAAAAATCAAGTCAATACATATCAGAACTGGAATAAATCTAGAGTTGTCCGCATAGACAAGTACCCCCACATGTATTTTCAAAACTTGTTGAACAGTAGCAGATTGAAATTCAGTTAAGAAAATGCCAGTTTGAGATATTTGGCTTTCAGCATGTTTATTTTTTATAACTATTTTTTTTCTGTGAGGTTGACACGTGGTTTATGGTTGGTCAATCTTTAAGAATTATACTGATTCAGGAACAAAGTCTGAGATTCGTTTATAGTAAATTTAGCCGTTAAAAGACTTACAATTTGAATTAACTAAGTGTCATGTCCAAGTTTATGGGCTGATGGAATATCTGAAGCCCCCCCCCCCCCCCAAAAAAAAAGAGGGCCATAATACCAAAATCTCCAAAATCGACTTTACTGAATTTTGCCTGATTTAGTTGCGGCCTCAGTTAAAGTATAATTTCATCACTTTTAAATTCATTAGTTAATGTTGGCTTTGAACTAGCGTTCAGCACTCTTAGATCGATACTTTTTGTCTTTTGATATTTGTTTTTGTGCTTGGTACCATTCTGATAAGTAAAACCCGTTCCCTTTTTATCCAGATTACCTTACCTGCATTTGATAAAACCTTTCGGAATTTCGTATCCTCAATGCTCTTTAACGTCCTACTTTACATGGCCTTTCTAACTTTTTTTATTCGAGCGTCACTGATGAGCCATTAAACTTTTTTGTAGACGAAACGTGCGTCTGGCGTACAAAATTTTAATCCAATGGATTATCACAGTTCGTTCTTTTGTTGTGTTGTTTCTCCACTGTCCTTGGTTAATAGAAGGGTTGAATGCTCACATCCATGTTTAATTCGCCACACTCTTTATAAACCAGAAGTCTGTTATCCAGTGGTTGTCGTTGGTTGTTGTTTTCTATGATTGTTTTTCGTTGATTGTTGTTGCATAAATGTTTTCTATGATTGTTTTTCGTTGATTTTTGTTGTATAAATCATGCCATTTGTTTTCTTTTTCATATGTTGTCATCCAGGTTATTTTTATAGCTTACTATACGGTTTGTGTCTTACTCATTGATGAAGGTCGTAAAGTGACCTGTATTCGTTCACATATTTGTCCTTTGGTCTTTAACGGATAGTTGTTTCATTGGCAATTCATATCAACTCTCCTTCCGTTTATACATATAAGAACACTCAAAAACAAAGATTTTGGATAACCAAAGAGAACTACAAAATGTATAAGCATCAAAGTAAAACAGAACATTCAAAACAACCTGTTAAAAGGGAAGGAGAACTGTTTCAGTATTTTTATCCGATAATTTACAATTCAAAATTTATCGTTTGAATTATATTAGTACTTGTACACTAGCTATATATCCGATGTCGAAGTTGGTTTTTTTTTCTAATAAATAAGCAAATATTTCCTATAAATGACAGCAATTACTTTACTTTAAAAAATAGAGTTGGTATGTTTTTCTAATAAATAAGCAAATATTACAAAAATAGAGTTGGTATGTTTTTCTAATAAATAAGCAAATATTCCCTCTAAACGACAGCAACTGCTCTACTTTCAAAAATAGATTTATTAAAAAAAAAATAAAAAAGATGTGACAGTTTGTATTCTATCAACGATTTATTAATAGTTAAAATGGTCAACTATATGCGATCATATAGAGAACCATTTTTTCCCAGAATATTCCGACATGATCTTAAAAAAATGCCTGGATAGGATTATTTATTCAAATTTGTTTAGGAAATTTCTGCGGATCAGGGTTTATAGTTACAGCAATTGAATTGAAAAACCACAAACGTGCATACATATTTTCAGTATCCACTACTATGATAAATGCATGCTACTTCCGTGTAAATTACTTACACAGGATCGTAAGCACGAGGAATGTTTCTCTACCAATCTCAATAAATATAAGCAGGATTATAAGCTCTTTAATAATATTATCTATAACGGAAGACGGACTTCTGTTTCTCACAGAAGCCTATAAGGGGAACACTTCATTTTTTTTTCAGTCTGTTATCTCGATTTTTTTTTATCGTTGTCTTGATTTTTTTGGTCGTTATTTTGATCTTTTTATCGTTATATTGATTTATTTATCCGTTATTTCGATGTACATGTATTAAGTCGTTGTCATTAAATCGTTATTTGGATTTGTGTTTTTTTCTTTCGTTATCTTGATTGGTTTGTATAAAACAAGTCGAGATAACGAATCACTTAATCGAGATAATAGACTAGATAAAAATGAAGTGTGTCCCTTCAAAGCTTCCAAAGTTTCAGTTTTCATCTATGCTGACATGTTCTGGACATTTTTTTCTTTTATAAATTTACTGACTGAAGTAAAAATAAAATTGGATTAGAGTAAGGATTTGAAACATACGACACAAAATTCCTAAAAGGAATTTTCAAGGCCGCCAGAATCATCATCAATAGACAAGTGCTATACATTAGCATTATCGTTTATGTTGTGTTGTTACACCATTGGCCCTTGTTAATGGATGGTTGAACGCCCAAAACCATGCAAACCATGCCACATTCTTCGGTATGCGTGTCCCAAGTCAGCAGGCTGTAATTCAGTTGTCTTAGATTGCTGTCTGTCATATTTGTTTTTTCCGTTTATTGGTTTGTCATAAATCAGGCCGTAGGTTTTCACTTTTGAATTGTTTCACACGTTGTCATGTCGGGACATTTAATAGCTTACTATACGGTATGGGCTTTGCTCAATGTGACCTATATGTGCTGGAGGTGTGATGAGATGATTACAGGCATAAAGTTTTACTTTGACAACATTTATGTACGTTTCGGCATAAAAGTTTATCGACAGATTGTAGGTATTCCCATGGGCACCAAGTGTGCCCCTTTAATAGCAGACTTGTTCCTGTACTGTTATGAATCACATTTTTATGGCCAAACTCAGTAAAGACCCGTCTAAATGCCATTCAATTGATACATTCAACAACACTTACCGTTAACTTGATGTTATATTTCGTTAAAAAATAAAGAATTCTCTTAATATACTGCCGAAATTTACCCACAACAACTTACTTTAAATAAATCAAATATTATCAACAATACGTGTCTTTTCCTAGATTTAGATATTTCAGTTTTACACCAGAAACTCTACAAAATTATTTACGACAAAAGGGATGATTTTTCTTTCCCTAATGTTAATTTTCCTTTTTTGGACGGTGATGTTCCTCTGGCACCATCTTACGGTGTTTATATATCACAACTCGTTCGTTATGCCCGTGTCTGTAGTGACGTTTTGGATTTCAAAGAGCGTAATCTATGTTTTTCTGGTAAATTATTAAGTCAGGGATTTCGTTACCACAAATTACTTAAAACTTTTACTAAATTCTTCCATAGATACAAAGATTTGGTTTGCAAGTTTGACTGTACCTGTAAAAACTTATTTCTACATCCTAAATCTTACGGTGATGTAGCCCGGAAATTTATATATGATCCTGGTAAAACTTATCTATCCTTTAAATAAACTTGTTCTAAAAGGTTACCAATTCAACACTGTAATTAGATCTGTGAATATTGTTTTTATTGGTATAAATATTGATTTTGTTATCAGTAAATTAAAATTATACTAATAGTTTTGTTATACACATATGCACTTTAACGGTACTACAATCTGTCGATCCTTTATTTTGGTATTGTACAAGGTCATGCTTTTCTCTGACAGTTAATGACATCTTTACACTAAATCCATTGGATGTTGGATGTGTACTGATTGATATTTTAGTCTTTGATACATGATTTTTATTAGTTGTTATTGGCTTTGAACTAGCTGTCAGTAACTGCGAGTACTCTCAGATCTGTACTTAGTGTCCTTTTTGTTGTTGGGGATGAGGGATGGATAAATACCCTGCCACGTCCGGTCTTTGTTTACGTTTGATGTTTTTTCTGCTTTGTATCAATCTGATGAGTTAATCCCTTTTCAACTGATTTTTATAGTTTGTTCTTATGTTGTGCTGTTACACCACTGTCTCAGGTTAGGGGAGGGTTGGGCGCTCACAAACATGCTTCACCCCGCCACATTCTTTATGTGCCTGTCCCAAGGAAAGAGCATGTAGTTCAGTGGTTGTCGTTGGTTCATGTCTGTCATATTTGTTTTTCGTTACTTGTTTTGTTATGAATTAGGCCGTTAGTTTTCTTTATTGAATTGAGGTTTCATGTCGGGGCCTTTTATAGCCGACTATAATATATGGGTTTTTCTCATTGTTGAAGGCCGTAAGGTTATCTATAATTGCTTACATCCACTTAATTTGAACTTTGGTGGATAGCTGTCTCATTGGCAATCATACCTCATATCCTTATTTTTATATATACCACAACTCCTAATTATGATCATTTGGTAAACACTTCCTTAATCCTCATCAGAAATATATTTAGATGAACTTTTCTGCATTTTTAAAGCTTTCAACTGCCAATGCGCCATGCTCTTAGTAAATTTTATATGAACAAGAGTGAATATTTTGCATAGATATGCGGTAAACAAATACGGTTCATTTATAGTTCACAAGTGTTTTCGATGGGAATTAAAGGACAGATATTTGTCTTGATAATTACTGTTATGACTTGAGACTTAAAATATTCAAGTAATTTTCAAAAAAAGTAGCAGAATTGTAATGAAGAGCTCAGTATAATCCTTACCTGCATTCTCCGGGAGTGTCGCAGGACCCATGACTGCAACCCGTTTTACATATAGCTGGAAAAGATATGGTATAACTTGTAATTTAGTATGTTAGTATACGAAGATACGTAAATATGTTGTTATTGAGCATGAAAGGTAAACAAGTTAACTATATCAATCATTAACAATCCATGCTTAGCCTGTAATTCCCCGAGTACGATTATCGTACTCAGACTCAGAAACCAACCAATCAAAACACTGGATTGAGTATTTCGAGCACACACTCCGTAAAGTTTTATAACTGAGAACGCTGATGTGACGTCGAAATCTATGTTACCTTAGTGAAACTATCGAGTTGTCGGACAGTTACTATCACAGCTTATACTTTTTGGTAAATTAACGAATCGTGATTATGGTTCAGTTTGATCTATACCGTTATTTTCCTTGGCTGTGCTTTTGTCTGTTCCTTATCCAATCAATATATATAAAGGACCGTTGAGATCTCACAAAACGTGTTTAACCCCGCTGAATTTTTGCGCCTGTCCCAGGTCAGGAACCTCTGGCCTCTGTTAGTCTTGTATGGGTTTTTTAATTTGGTTCATTTATATGATTCGGAGTTTAATGTGACGTCCATTTTCTCTGAAGCAGTTTACATTTGTGTTTAGGGGCCAGCTAAAATCTGCCTCCGGGTGCGAGATTTGTTCGCTGTGTTGAAGACTCATTAGTGACCTTGAGCTGTTTTCTGCTCTTTGGTTGAGTTGTTGTCTCTTTGACACATTCACCGTTTCCATTCTCAGTTTTATTCGTTATCTATTTTATAGGTTTATTGTTAAATATAACATACTATTATGTTGTAATGTTACACTAATGTCTCAGGTTAGGGTGAAGGTTGGTGTCTGTTAAAACGTTTAAACCCGCTGCATTGTTATGCAACTTTCCTAAGTCAAGAGCCTGTTGTTCAGTGGTTGTCGTTTGTTGGTGTAGTTCATAGGTGTTTATTGTTTCTCTTTTTTATATAGATTATACAGTTGGTTTTCCTGTTTGAATTGTTTTACACTAATCATTTTGGGGCCCAATATAGATTGCTGTTCGGTGTGAGATAATGCTCTGTGTTGAAGGCCGTACTTTGACCTATAATTATTAACTTTTTATACATTGTGACCTGGATGGAGAGATGTCTCATTGGCACTCATACCACATCTTCTTATTTATATAGTATTAAAATTTAGTTTTGAATATATTTTTGAAACCATTTGATTTGATTTAAGTTGGAGGGGACAAGGAAGGATTTTAAAAGATCTATCATATTTTTTTCTTCTCCAGAATCGAGATCAAAGACGAATATATATATATATATATATGTCATTATATTGACAATAATGTTATTCCCAGTGGCTTATGTATTAAAGCACTGCCTCAAACTACCGGCAACCTGTCTGATACATTTCTACGTAGGTGGGATCAGACCCTATTTCACTGTTCCCTCCGTCTACTCATACTCCTTAGAGGACACTGTATTGAACATCTTAAAAACTTAACACTTAAATTTGACTCCTTGTCTCACGCTTGCAAAAAAGATCTAACAGCAAGCGAATTCGAGAACATCCAAGAGCGCTTGAGAGATTTAACCAACACTAAGACCGCCACTCTCCGCTCCAGACAAAGATGCAAATTTCAACGGGATGGTACTTCTTTCCCATCCATTAGTACAAAAGAAAAAAATAATAATAAAACCAAAAACAGACATTTCAGACGTAGACCTCAAGTCCTCAGCAACAAGATCAATACCGTTGTCAATCTCTCCAGCAAACAACTTACTGAGGACGAAACTTCATTACTATCCAGAGGCCTAAACTTTTGTCCAGTCCCAGGTCCAGTGAATGATACTAAATTGTCTGATGAACTGGATAATTTTGCCAGGAGCCTCCGCATCAAGGAACATTTTGCATCGAAAGAGGACGATAGCACCACCTCAGATAGTGACTCTGACGACTCCAACGAATATAGATTTAGAAAGAAAAGTAACTGGGTCCCTAAACCAAGCAAAAATACCACCTTAGAATCATTTATAGACAATGTTAAAACGGATATACTTACAAATGTAAAAATAAATAATCAGACCTATGACAATTTAACACCTGGTGAACGTGTGGCTTTAACAAATTTGAGAGATAATGACGACATTGTTATTAAACCTGCAGACAAAGGGAGTGCAGTTGTCGTCATGGACAAATCTAACTATGTCCAAGAGGCCATTCGCCAATTAGATGATGACCGGTTTTACAAAAAACTTAATTCGGACCCCACCCTCCAATTCAGTGAGGAAATAACAGAATGTTTAAAGGAAATGTGTGACAATAACATCATTGATATAGATACTCTCAAATATTTAAAACCTGAAGATTCTGAACCTGGGCGATTCTACCTGCTCCCTAAAATTCATAAACCTGGTAACCCAGGAAGACCAATCGTCTCAGCTAATGGTCATCCCACCGAAAAAATATCCGAATTCGTTGATTACTATCTTCGACCACATGTAGAAAACTTGCCATCTTTTATAAAAGATTCTACAGATTATCTACTAAAAATGCAGGATTTAAACCCTCTACCTGCCAATACTACTCTTGTCACAATGGATGTCACCTCCCTCTATACGAATATTCCCCATGCGGATGGCATTGAAGCATGTAGAGAAGTTTGGGACTCTCGATCTCTTAAAATTGGACCTACTGAATGCTTAGTAGAAATGCTTACTATGGTCTTGAAAAAGAACAACTTCACATTCCAAGGAGAACACTATTTACAGACAAATGGCACTGCTATGGGTACAAAAATGGCTCCATCTTATGCCAATATATTAATGGGTAAAGTTGAAAAGCAACTGCTGGAGTGCTCCATCGAAAAACCGCTTTCCTGGTATCGATTCATTGATGACGTTGACATGAAATGGGACAAGGGAGACCAAGAATTACAAACTTTTATAACAAATGCTAACAATCAACACCCTACCATCAAATTCACCCATGAAACATCTAATTCCACCATAAACTTCCTTGATACATCTAGCACCCTCTCTGTAGGTATAATAAACACAGATATATACTCTAAACCTACAGATACTCATCAATACTTGTCGCCTGAAAGTTGCCATCCTCCACACTGCACGAAGAGCATTCCATACAGCCAAGCTCTCAGAATAAGGCGAATCTGCTCCTCTGAAGACACTGCAAAACAACGTCTGGGGCAGCTCAAGGGACATTTGAAAAGAAGGGGATATAAACACAAAAACATCAAAAATAGTTTTCGAAAGGCGGAATCCATCCCCAGAAGCAGTCTGCTAACTTACAAAGAAAAACAGAAAAGTAAAAGAATCCTATGTGTGCTCACCTAACATCCATGCCTGAGAAATAGTTTCAAGACCATTCGTGATCATTGGACAGCAATCAAGAAACATTCTAAGTTATCCAAAATCTTTCCTGAGCCTCCCATGATTGCCTTCAAACAACCTAACAGCCTGAGAAATATACTTGTCCGTGCTGACCTTTCCAAACCTAACCATACTGTAGGTAATTGCCAGCCTTGTGGGGATAAGCGCTGCAAATGTTGCAACCAATTGCAGCATTCATCAACATTTCACAGTAAGACCACAGAAAAGACATACAAGATCTTCTGCAATGTCAACTGCAAAAGCTCAAACGTGATTTACGTTCTTGAGTGTCCTATATGTGGTCTCCAATATGTTGGTGAATCTATGCAGCCATTTCACAAACGCCTTAATGGCCACAGGAGTGACCTCACAAAAAAAAAGTATATTCCTGTCAGCCAACACTTCAGGTTACCAGATCACAATCAGAAAGATTTTGATCACATGAAGATCCTTGTGATCGAACAGGATTGTACATGGCAAAATAGGCAAAGAGAGAATCGGGAGAAGTTTTGGATAAAAACACTGGGTGTCCTCCATCCAAATGGAATCAATAGAAAGAAATAATTTAATTTACAGTCTAATGTTTATATTATGATATTCAGGATTTTGGATTAAAATCAATCGACCAAAACTTACCTGTATTATTACTGATCTATGTTTACACCTTATACATTATATATCAGTATTGTTAAAACTTTTAACACTGAGGAAGGCCATTTGTTGAGCCGAAATATTTGCAATTATTGTATAATTTATATCATCTGTTCAGTTTTTCCATCTTTGTGCGATGATATTCAACACTTTTTAGTGTTTTGTTTTCCATCTATTTATCGGTATTGTTACACAATCTTTTAGACTCATATAATTTTCCCTGTTTGTGTAGTATTGTCAATTTTGATGATCCAATACCTATTAAGTTTACTGGTTGGTAGATTCTTATAGACTCTATATATATATATATATATATACAAGTCTAAATTGAAAACAACGTTCAAACCTATGATTGCGTTGGATAAAAACCGCAAATTTTATACGTGTGCATGCAAAACAAATTTCTTGTTAGAGGGGTCTAAATACAGCACAAACAACATTTTCCAAAAGACCAAAATAGTGAAAAAGTATATTTTAACAAAACGCATTTGATTAACAGGTCGAACAACAAATGTTCTTAAACCCTGTTGACTGCCATTGGCGATTGCCAAATAAACGGATCACCGATGTAATAAATGGATTTATACACAAGACTAAATTGAAAACAACGTTCAAACCTATGATTGCGTTGGATAAAAACCGCAAATTTTATACGTGTGCATGCAAAACAAATTTCTTGGTAGAGGGGTCTAAATACAGCACAAACAACATTTTCCAAAAGACCAAAAAAGTGAAAAAGTATATTTTAACATAACGCATTTGACTAGCAGGTCGAACAACTGATGTTCTTAAACCCTGCTGACTGCCATTGGCGACTGCCAAATAAACGGATCACCAGATGTAACAAAATGGATCTAATAATAATTTATTATCAAACAGAAAACAATAAACTTGCGGAAAAGATGGTATACCGCAAACAAAAGGTGCAAACATTTGTACACCATATCCGGATTTCGACAATTAATGTCTCTTCAGTGATGTTTGGAATCGAAACGGTATTTGGAAGGCCATATAATTTACCTCAATTTAGGATAGACTCTTGAATTTTAAAGAGTCGAAATAGGATGAATGGATCATATAAACCCGAAGGCAAATATAATACAAGCCCAAACGAAAAAATATAAACAAGTCTAAATTGATAACAACGTTCAAACCTATGATTAAGTTGGATAAAACCATATATATAGATATATACAAATAGAGCCAAATTGAATGTTCTCATGTGCAGAGAAAGGGAAAACAAGAATACAAACCTTTATCACATTCCGATCCCATCCAGCCCTCCATACAAACTTTATCACCAGGAGAATACAAACCTTTATCTCATTCCGATCCCGTCCAGCCCTCCATACAAACTTTATCACCATAAGAATACAAACATCACATTCCGATCCCATCCAGCCCTCCATACAAACTTTATCACCATGAGAATACAAACCTTTATCACATTCCGATCCCATCCAGCCCTCCATACAAACTTTATCACCATTAGAATACAAACCTTTATCACATTACGATCCCATCCAGCCCTCCATACAAACTTTATCAACATGAGAATACAAACCTTTATCACATTCCGATCCCATCCAGCCCTCCATACAAACTTTATCCCCATAAGTATACAAACCTTTATCACATTCCGATCCCATCCAGCCCTCCATACAAACTTTATCACTATAAGTATACAAACCTTTATCACATTCCGATCCCATCCAGCCCTCCATACAAACTTTATCACCATGCGAATCACACTTGTAATGTCCAAATGTATCATTTCGTGGTCGACAGAATTTTGTACACGTTGTATTATAATAATGTATATCACAAACCACCCGTATTCTGTAGATTAGACTAGCTGTGGGTCCATTATGTGTTCTTGTATACCAGTCAGGTCCCGGCAGCAATATACCCGAGTAGGATGCACGTTCGATGATTTGGCCATCATCTGTTAGAAAATAAAAAGAAAAAGGTCAGATCATCTGTCAGAAATAGAAAGAAAAAAATTGGGGTGAGCCTTCGAGAAAATGTAGCCATCATCTTAAAATAGAAAGAAAAAAGTCAGATGCACGTTCGATAATTTGGCCATCATCTGTCAGGAAATAGAAAGAAAAAAGTAGGATGCACGTTTGATAGTTTGGCCATCATCTGTCAGATAATAGAAAGAAAAAGTAAGACGCATGTTTGATAATTTGACCATCATCCTTTATAAAAGGTTAAAAGGGAAAAAAAACTCAATGTGCTTTTAAGATATCCACTATCGTCCTTGAATTTTTAGTGGAAAGTTACCTCAATGTTAAAAACACGGAGGGAGTTTAAGAATAATAAATCTTCCGATGAATAGAAGAAATATTGATAAAGGTTTTGAAGAATACAGACAATTTTCTTACCTTGAACTTTCCCTGAACCCCCTGCCAGTTACAAGACATTGAGGACAATACATTAAACCAGACCAGGCGAGTGAAACAGAATTTAGTTTTTAATTATTTTTACATCTTTGTAATCCATCCTTTATTCAAAGATCTTCAAAGTGTGTCGGTATGGCAAACGTAATAACTGTACGATTTTTTTTTTCTGATTAATGAAAATAAAAATTACCACTACTTAACAGGGAACACTTCATTCTAATTTTGGAAGATAAAATGGATATGTCAGTTTTAGTCACAAGTGATGATGTTCATCATTTATGAAGTCGACATTTATATCATTAAAAAAATGATGGCATACAACATGATCGTTTATAACTTTAGTGTTATCTGGCAAATCATTGTTTACATTAATGGGATTAAATAGATTAATTCTTGTACTGAATATTTGCTTAGTGCTTATTATTATTTACAAACGGAAATAATATTGATATAATCACATTCTTTTATTCAAAGAATTTAATATAAAACGGCGATTTATTGGAATTGTTGATTTTATTTCATTTTGAAGGAACGTATTTAGTTATTAATTAAGGAGATGCATGGTATACATCAATGAGACAGGAACCCAACAAAATCAAAAAGACAAACTGATTTCAGAATCGCCTCGCTCTCCCCCTTTTTTCTAAAATTCAAGACAAGTTTTGACATTATTGCAATCTGGAAGAATTTAGAGCTCGGAAATAAAACAATCCGCTCCGTTATACTAGCCTTCAGGGGCTATACAAAAATTCAAAACAATCTGCCTCATTCCTAAATATATATTATAAGCTTTGCAGAAATATTGTATTCATTCTGAACTATACTAGTTGATATGCTAAAGAATTAGCATATTAAACCGGAAACGAAAAGAAAACACATTGAGGAATATGGACATAATCGCGGGGAAATACTATGATTGTTTTATTTAAATCTCAGCCCTCTCCGTTTGAATCTCGATCAGTATGATAACAACAGATACATATAATCGAAAGTAAATCTAATAAAAAAACAGAAATCTGTTCAGAAAGTCGCTTAATTGTAAAAAAGCCCGTTTGCAGCAGGGGGTTTAAAAGTGGCCAAATGACCGCTTGACTTCGATCTACGATCTGCGTCTTTATGGTAGTAATTGAATAGAACAAACAACTAATCAATAATTCATTTATTTCTTTGGCAACGAATTTTCTGCATGCATAGTAGAGGATGGTGATGGGGTTTTCATAATAGATAAATGGACCAAAAATTAAATTGCATAGCATATTGGGGTGCTAAAATATATGAAGAAAAAAAAGAGAGTAATTTGACAAAAAAATAATAAAGACTACAGAAAATGGCATAAAAAGTTAAAAAAAAAAAACAGAAATGAAGATTCCCCTCCTTTAATAAAATCAAGACCCTCATAGTACGATAGCGTAAAAATGGTGAGAAGATTGCGTAGAAGAAATGTCTGAAATGCTGTTATGATGTAATCTAGAGAATATTATCGACAGTTTACATTATCAACCAGCTGTATAAGATAAGTTATTATATATATCATGAAATGTAAAAACATATACATAGATATGCTCTCTCTTATAATTCTCCAAAATTTTCAAAATATACTAATGAAATTTATAACCCTCAACTTTCTTTTACTTTTTGAATCATCGTTGTCCTCTATTCGATCTTGATTTAAGAATTATTACGGAAACCTTTATTAGATTATGAGTTTGAATGTCCCTTTGGTATCTTTCGCCTCTCTTAATCACATACCGGACTACTTTTCCAAATCGCGATAACGATTTGTGACGCCACATTGATCAAGTAATTGATAAAGTATAGATCAACATATTTCAGTTTTCTATATTAGGATTAGGAATGTTAGGAAACATAACAATGTAAGTACGGATTCGAAACATTGGCTCTGGGCTCCAAACTATGGACTCCCGGATACATACTTATATACTCCGCTTCCCCTCAAAGCGATCTAGATTCATACAAACGGATCTCATGATCCAGGTACGTTATGAAATCCTTTCTTGTACAAAGGTTCGAATTTTGGAAGAGATTTTACAAACATGCTAGGGCATGACCTAAAAATACTTGGTTTTAAGGTTTCTTTGAAAGAGATAAACTTCTTATGGTTGACAACTTTACAGACTTCTCGAGGATACGATAGCTGATCATAGTTTATTCCAATATACACCCATTGTTTTCAAAATTATGGTCTGGACGTTCTTGATTCTTAATGAAGATAAGTAAAGAAAATGCACGTATCCAGAAACGAAATCTAGAGGATAATGAAATCTGATTTCTGTTGTAAATTATTTTCTGTTCATTTTGCTATTCTATGACTGATTTTGGTTTGCTAGATATTGAGAGAGAGAGGATTGAGTACTATACAATCTAAACCTTTTTGTACAGATTAAAGCTTTAGTCGTCTTTTTTTTACTCAGTCACGTGTTCAAGCGGTTTTTTTTTAAGTCAGCAATCTCGTCAGTGGCTGTCTTTAGTTATACTTTGTTTTTTGTCCGTTAGGGAATTTGGTGTTGGTGATAGATCTTTGATTATCTCTCTGTTGATTGACTCGTATTTCTGGACTCGGGCAATTTAAAGCGTGACATGCGTGCAACGAGACAATTCATAAAATAACAAACAAAATATGGAATTCAAAGAGCAAAACTTAGTACTTAAGCCTTGGACAGTAAAAATCCAGGAAAGGTAAGCATAAGTTGTTAATTTCTGTGTCATTTGGTCCCTTGTGGAGAGTTGTCTCATTGGCAATCATACCACATCTTCTTATTTTTATATATCCTGCTTCGCACAAGACATCCGTCTTATTGAAGGATATCTGATAAATACAAAATTTTCTAATCACGATGATTAATACTTGTTTTATTTTCCTTCTTAGACATAAAAGCATGCGATGCATGCAAACATGATTATAGGTATGGACTCACGTGAAAGTGTGTCTTGATCCCAGGCTTCTAATGTTAGACTGTACGTCAGCTAAAACGAGAGAAAACCACATAATATAAACACAAAAATAGACACAAAATATGATGTAAATACAATCACAAATAAGATTATATATAGAGTACTAATTCAAAATCAAAGAATTGTTTATTAGTTCTTTGTTCTTTGATATACTGCTGTACAGTAGTCTTTACTGAGCAGACATGGAGTGTTTACAAATTTCCATTTCGTCGTAACGGCTAATATTTCATGCATCTTCAGTAACTAAGTTGGAAACACAAATAAGCAATATAGTTGATACACTGAACCCTCATAGTCATTCATATTGCGTCTCTAACAATAATTGGAATTAGTTGGTCGAAATGCCGGGAAAAGCAAGTCTACAGTATTATCAAATCAACAACCAAAACAAGAGAAGAATTGGAAAAAATGTCAGACAAATGAGAGACAAATATTTTAACATAGATTGTCAACAGTGTTATGGTCACATTCTTAACATAGATTGTCAACAACGTTGTGATCGAACTAGGAGATTTTCTTCACAAGAACCACCATCAGCAACGCCCTTATATATACTGTAAAAATCGTGCTTAGAAATTAAACACTTGTATTACATGTTTAGATCTAAACGTGTTTAGGATTGTGTTTAATTTCTAAACACGTTTCTCAGTAAGCACATAATATCTAATCATGTCTTGAATTTAAACACTTTTAATGTGTTTTAAAATGAAAGTGTTTAGATATTAAACACTTATTTCTAAGCTAAAGACGATTCTAAACACAATCCTAAACACATTGTACTGAGACACGTTTAGATCTAAACATGTAATAAAAAGTGCACAAAAGATGTGCTTAGAAATGTGTTTAGGATCTAAACACCATTTTTACAGTGTATATACACTATTTATGGTATCATAATAATATTTCTTTCTTAGCGTATTTGTTTTTTAAAGCTTAAAGTATTGTAAGTATATACAATAAGTCATTACATACAACTATACCACATATTTAATGATTAATCAAACAATAAATCAGGGGGAAAATCCATGTAAATCAAACTGTAATGGCCTTTTGAATGGTTGTAATACCAAGAGAACATTGTTACAGTTCTAAATGAATGTAACATATGGTCACGAATAATAGATTGAAATTTCACAGATTTTTGTCGTATTTATTTGTAAATATTAAAGTATAGAGTTAAGAGTAGAGAATGATTGAACAAATAAATTATTCAATGGATGTACTTGCATGAACTGGTCATTGAATATACCAGCTGACGGTATTTATGTTTCTTTATTTTCATACACTAAGTTTTTTAAAACACGTTAACAGTTGTTTCAATAGAGTTCGGCAGGATATATGTCAATTATGTACGATAAATTCCTCTGGGAAAAGTGACATACAAATGTACGTTTGTGACATCGCCATTAAGACTTGGTAACAATTTTGTGCTTGCCATAAGCAACATAACGGGCGCCACTAGCGAAGCAGGATCTGTTTACCATTCCGGTGCACCTGAGATCACCCCGTTTCTTTCGTTTTTTTTCCTGGCGTAGTCAGTTTCTCTTCCACTTATGAGTTTTGAATGTCCCTTTGGTAAATTCCGTCTCTTTTATATCTATAGGAACATGTGACATAAACACAACTATGGAACAGGTGACGGAAAACACAACTATAGGAACAAGTGACGAAAAACACAACAACAAGAACAAGTGACGAAAAACACAACTAAGAGAAGAGGTGACGAAGTATTCACGTGTTGATATGTAATCACATTATAAATCTTCAATGGTATTTTCATATGCATTGCATTGTCGTTATTTTGTTATCGATAGAAACCTTCGCTTGTATTTACACTGAACAAATTATAGAACTCCCAAGTTCAGGAAATATTGCGTGCAGGTCCATTGATCTGCACTGATAATCACTATGAATGTAAAATGCCAGAGTAAAATATATTCACTTTGCAACCTTGCGAGACAATATGTACTATTAGTATATCTAATCAAGTTAGATGCATCAATATATCAAACAAAAACATTTTGTGTACTCTGCATCTTTGAATGTAAATGACATTAATCAACGAAAATTTATGCAAAGATAAAAAGTTATTAACAAAAAGTACTTAATTTTAAGATTTATTATTAAAACTCTATTTTCTGGCAAGTTTAGGGAAAATATCTTCATGCGTGCGATCCTCACCGGAATAATTACAACTTGTCTGGTAGAGTCCTGATTTGGTACAATTACATTCGAATGCAAGTAAAGGGTTGAACCATGAAGGTTTTACTGGCCGCCTAACCTTCCACTTGTATTTATTAATCATTTATGTTCCAATAACGTATCTTGAAGTCCATGCCCGCAATGAATCGTGACTGTTTAACAGATAAACATACTATATGCTATTTGTAGGGAAAACGGTACTATTACATTTTCCCAGCATTAGGTTGGCCTTTTGTGTACCCAAGGCAGGTGAAGGAAGTCAAATTAGGAGCGCTGTGATTGGATGTAAGGGTACAATATATTTTTTTATTTATCTATGAATAACTGCAGTGTGTATATTTACAATATAAATTTTAAAACCTATTGAAATATTTTCTAGAGAATTATTCGAAAAGGCTTCCAAAATTTCATAAATTTGGTGTAAAATGACGGTGGGCATGGATAACATAAACAAGCTCCGTTGGAAATTGGTCATGATACTATTTGGCTTCAATTTTGAAAATAGAATAATAAAGTACTAACACCACACATAACTGTTTTATCCAGGTTTTTATTATAAAAAGTGGTAAATTTAGAAAATGTTAGTATTGTCGCCTATGGCAGAATAAATAGTACCGTTTTCCCTGTATGTATGCACCACCGCACAACGTAACGGACACCCCTCAGCAATAGCAGTTACGGTTTTTTGTGCATCCAGAGTCAGTCATATCCTCTTACACACGCATTTAATTTAGCATTCCCAATCATTCGGACGCGACTGAGTATTTATCAATCCCGCCTAGTCAATGTGACATTATGCAAACTTGTATGCTTATTTTCATCGCAATATAGCTGGAAAACTGTATATACAAACGAAATCAAACAAATATGAACAAATAAAAAATGACTCATTAATATCCAAAAAAAATAGGATAAATCTAGAAAGGACAAATCATATGAAATTTAATATAGAAGCAAAAACCTTGCAAAACATAGACACATGGTCACCTTGAATTCTCCTGTCCGACATGAAAACCTATGTTAAAGAGCGACGTCCATATGGGTGTGCAATAAGTATAGATAAACAGCTACACAGCTTCTCTAGTACAATCTTGATGTACATTTAGTAAGATATATATAAACTGTATATTTGTGAAGATGTATATACAAAGTTAATATATATCTTTAAAAATGTAGTAAGTGGATATATATCTATCTCCGTCACTCACTAACCCTTTCTCAATAACTTACTCACGTCTCTTCCACCCAAATCTCTTCTTTGTTCCATCTCTTGTCCACTCGCACTGTTTCTCTCACCCACTCTCTGTCTCTTTCAATCACTGTCTTTTACCTTCTCTCTCTCTCGTTCGCTTACCTTCTCTAACTCTCATTCACCCACACTCTCTATCTCACTCACACTAACCAAAACATTTTCTCATTCACGCACACTGTCCCTTCTCTCGTTTGCTTACTCTCATTCACCCAAACTCTCTCTCGCATTCACCCCACACTCTCCCATTCACCTACAGTCTGTCTCGCTCACACACTCTTCGATTCGCTCACTATCATTCACCTACACTCTGTCGTTCTGTCGTTCGCTCACTCTCCTCTCACACTCTCTCTCGTTCGCTCACTCCCTCTCTAATTCGCTCACTCTCATTCACCCCACACTCTCCCATTCACCCACAGTCTGTCTCGCTCACACACTCTCCGATTCGCTCACTCTCATTCCCCAACACTCTGTCGTTCTGTCGTTCGCTCACTCTCCTCTCACACTCTCGTTCGCTCACTCCCTCTCTAAGTTGCTCACTCTCATTCACCCACAGTCTCTCTCGCTCACACACTCTCATTCACCGACAGTATCTCCGTCTCTCGTGCGCTCCCTCTCATTTACCCACACTTTCTCTCGCTAACACACTCTCAATCAACCACACTCTGATTCATTCACACCGTCTTTCACACACACTGTCCCTCATTCACGCACACTTTGTCACTCAGTTCGTTCACTGTCACAAGCACTCACTCGATCATTTTTCTCTCTTACACACCTCCCAGTGAATCCTCTCATTACTATACTATCACTTAGTAGAGAAAAGAGAATCCTAATGGCTACAACATACCAAGAGTTCTACTCCTTCAGGGCTGTGGTTGTCACAGTCCATCGGGGATGACACCAGTTTCTACCATTGTCTAGGAAAGTTCGGTACACATGTCTTCAGTTGCCTTCATTAGGTATGCGTACGACGTTAGTAAAGAAATTGTAAGTAAACGTTTTATTACAATTAAAAGTAGATATTTTGTGGTATTTTAACATTTTGTATTTGACAATTGTATCTGAAATAAAGAACCTATTTTATTTTGTTTCCGTTGGTACTTTGCTTGTTGAATATCCTATTACTTTTCTAGTTCAGTTATCTTTATATTTTTTCTTATTTCGTCTCCTTAAAAAATATTTATCGCAGCCTGAAATAAAGGGTGCTAACTGTGATTCCTTTATATTTCATTGTAATGCAACAACATAAGAATATATATGGTTAAGATATTTTCAGTTCACGTGTAATCAGTGAAGCGTTAGAATATAAACACAATCTTAGGATGCAATATTAAACGATAAAGAATTCTGTTTGAATACTATTCTAATATACGTGTATTTTTGTAATCACTACAAGTGTTGAACAAATTTGGGGTGATACTGATATTCATTTTCTCCATCTCAGAAAACCGTATCAGACACCCATCATCATCTCATAAACAAGTATACCATCTGTATAGATGCATATAAAGTGTACATTTGTAAAGATGTATATAAATTACACATTTGTTGAAATGCA